ACAACTTGGCGCAGGTTTTGCCCGAATCAATCACGAAGTCATTCAACCATTTCAGCCGTTCCATGAACAAGGCTTTTCTTCGTTTTTCTAAAGCAAAAGGGTCTGTGATAGGCGCAAACAATGAGGTTCAAGACTTCAGGTACAATATCGATGCATCTGAAGGCCCGTGTTGAGGTTAAGGGTTAGAAGAGATGGAAGAAAGTGGCTCCTTAATCATCATCTGAATGTATGGTTTGAGCTCGTAGGTTTACTCAAAGCCCGCCGCCCATGACGAGACGAAGCTGGCCTCTGCGGTCAAAAGGACTTCGTTCTTGCCGAAGGTCTCCAAGGATCTCGCCTTGACGTAGACAATTTATTATCGAAGTAAGCGGTCAGATCAGTTGTCCTTTGCTTTTTAACTTCGCCGAAACAGCAACGTGCTGGCGGGTTTGGCGGATCAATATAGGAGCTGCAAGACCTGGGCGTATCTAATTCCGCGTTTCGACCCCCTTCACTGGTGTGATGAATCATCGGCACTCTCAGCGCTCAAAATCGTCAGTTGGTGTCAACTTGCAAGAAGGGTCTCAGGCCGCACCATACGGCCTCCGCCTCGGTAAGTTACCCTTCGCTTTTATTGAGAAGAGCGCACTTGGTTTGAAACGCTACTACTGGCGGCCGGTTCTAGCACTTCGGACGCGAGAACGTAGCCGGTATATCGACCTCAAGCTCGCCTGCAAAGCAATTGGCCTCATGACCTCCGCGAACGTCGGCAAGAATCCGACTCGCCGCTGGGCGGCCGGGCAATATTTCGAGAGTGGGTCCGTTAGAAGGAAGCGGAACGTGCCTCCGTGTGCGCGAGTACGAAGGCCCGGTCAAAATGTCGCACGTGTGCATACGTCTCCGTCGAATAAGCAAGCGCACGCGCCCACGGAAAGCTTGTCAATATCAATGGGAATATGACAGCGCTGCGCAGCCGAGCAGCGGCGCAATGCATTTACTTCAGTATGGCCCAATGATTACGCGCTGGATGCCGCTAGCTTTTTGATGTATATATAAACTCAAAGCTACTGGAGAACAGGGCACCTGCAGAAAAGCAACGCACAAACGAAGACGGCTTTCAAAGTCGACTGACTTCTGTCAAGCGTGGTCGCAACGGGAAAGTCGGTATGACGTCGCTCTGAAGTCACCCCATGAGAGCTAGAATACGATGCCCGGCCGTTTGCTAGCTCGGCCTGAATTCGCGGGCTCTTCAACTCTACTCAGTTCCGTAAGAAGCGGTGTGTAACATTCTGACGTCCTCTTCAATAACGTGGCGCCTATGACGAGCACAAGCCTGGCCACATCCGACCAAGCACTGTTATCACGCTGTCAAGCCGCTCTGAAGGCCAGATTTTATGACTTTTGAGCTTCATTACATTCTCTACCTGCCATTCTGTCCACTCATTATGGAAGTATCAGCGAGCGAAGTATCAACAAGCACCCTTCCAATCTCCATTCTTCCAGCCCTCTCGGTGAAGATAGTGGAGAATTGGCGGTGGGCAATCGTGGACCAATGGATCCTAGAAAATCCTGCATAGATTCGTCGAGGTGACTGTCAATGATGTGGAACCGAATGATGCCAAGCACGTAAGTGCACAGCAAGCGCTGAAAGAACAGTGCCCGAATGAGAACGAGAGCTTTGAACACTCAGAGTCTGTACGAAATCTGACGGAGATGGTCGAATAAAGGGACTAAAGGGAAATCTTCTTCAACTGTGCGCCCACGCAGTGTGGACGGTCGGCTGAAGGTACACACTAGGTTTGGCAGTAAAGACGTTTGTCTCCGTGTTAATTATGGTTCCGGCCGTGTATCTAGTCAAAAGTTTTAGTCGGAGGGTCCTCTTTGCCTATGGCACCATGCATAAGGCGAAGCCAAAGTGATTGTAACCCCATTGACTTGAAAAGACTAGTCAAAAATTTAATCTGGGTTCATTAATCACCTTTGCTCGAACCTGCTTTCACTCGACTACATGAAGGCAAAGGGGAAGGAAATGTGGATGGATATCCAGTTCAGGGTGGGAGTCTGGCCTTTGACGAGAGTGGACACGGCCGCATGGGGTCACGTCATCCTTCTTTTTTCTTGAACTCTGATTGGCCAAATCAACCGCACGGCGCCGTCCTGCCTAGAGGAAGAGCATCGAACAGTATTCTGTTCCGTCTTTTTAGAGGATTTTGCATCTTCGTCGAAGAAACAAGACGCGATAAGACAAACTACCAAGGCCTGTGGGGAGCACGGAGACTGGTCATGCCGTGCGACCATGTCTCCAAATGCGCACTCATGCCCCGAAGGCTCCATTTATGTCGTGTTTAAGTTTGAGGAGTTTCGCAGTCCGGCGCAAAAGGGTTCAATAAAAGTGGCCGCTGGGGACCTTGGGTGCCTTGGATCACGCTTCTACTATGCCTGTCATATGGTGCGTCAACTTTCTGTCGCTTCGATCTCTATTAGCAAATGTTCAGTCTGTCTGCAAGCTAGTGACGTTCAACTCGCAGCCAAGGAACTGCACAGGACCGCTTAAGCGGCCAAGCTCCGAGGTGAAGTAAAGCAGAAGAGTGCTAAGCGATTTGCAGATTCCTTGGCTCATGAGATCCTAGGGCGCCTCGCTCGAGCGTCCACTCTCAGGCGCAGCAGGACGGACGGCCTTGTCACGCTGAAAAGATTCGCGCTGGTTTCCAAGAGCTGCTTCTCGAAGTGGATCAACTTTGACATTTCCCGCAGCCGAACGGTACACTTTATCACTGGTCGATGTCACTCCCCCGAAAGCGCGAAAGGGTTTCGCACCTCTCGTTCACGTCGAACGTGGTTCGGTCCTTTCTCGAGCCCAGCGCTGTGCGGTGGAGACACGTGATTGGTTAATCCTTTAGTTTCCTAAAACCCACTGCCCATGACGAAAGGAAACCCTGGCCTTTGTGGTCAGTACTTCTTCCCCTTCTAGAGGCTTTCAAGAGTCTCGCCTTGGATTAGAGCTCGCATGCAGTGTACATTTGATCCGAATGCTCAAGTAGTTGGCCTTTGCTTGTAAACTTGGCCGGAACAGCCCTGTTGATTAAACTCTGCGGAACGAAGGAGCGAACTTTTTCTCTTGACCTTGTTTTCGTGTGTCGACCCGCTCAGTGGTGGCCAGTCGACCTCGGCGCTCCCAGACTGCTCGCAGCCTCACCATTGGGACGCGAGCCAGGATGCAGATATGGAGCTTTTAGGCGACACCAGAAGGCGCCTAACGCAATAAACGTTCCCACAGCACACGTTCACTTACCCCGCGGATCAATCAGACCTTCCAGGTCAAAGCTTTTAACTGGCGGCCGGTCAAACAGAGCAGTGAGAATCACAGTTGAGGTGTAGCCGGTCGACCGACTCGGGTCATTCATCAGCTCGCTAAAGGTAGTGAAGCGTACAGAAGGCGCCTGCAAACGGACTCGAACGCCTGTTCGATACGGCCATGGCTTGGATCTTCAAAAGGAGCGGCTCCGCCAAGGCCAGCTGCTTGGACCCTGAGGATCTCGGCAACTCAGCCTCCCGACCTCGCCGCTCGGGAGCCCGCCGGCGACCTAGGCCCACGGCCTGAGGGATCGAGACTCGCGGCCGCGTGCGCCGCAAGTGCGCGCGTGCCGAATGGCGGTCAACATGAGGCACGTGCCTAGGCGACCTAGGCCCGCGTGCCTCATGTTGACGGCCATTCGGCACGCGCGCGGTATTTCGCGTTCCCTTAGCAAGCGTGATAGGTACTCGGCAAAAGAAATTTCGCCGTTGAAACTGTGAACGCTGCCGCCTCATTCGGGCGCGGGGTGGCGAAGCTGCCGAGTCGCGCGCGCGCGCAGTGCTTTGATGGCCCGAGGATATCCCGTACGATAAGTTAGCTGAGCTACCCCTGAAATAGAACCTTCTTTTGTTCCGAGGGCGTCTCGCCAATGACAAGCTCAAGCCTGGCCACAACCTGAAGAGGGCTAGACTATCTTCGTCAGTACCAACCGGCGCTGAAGGCCCACCATCACGACTAATTCTCCCCCTGGCGAGTTTCTTGATTGTTCCCTGCCAATCGGTCAGATGAGATCAGGAGTGTGGGCGAACGCGCAAAGTAGCAATCACGTACATTCCTCTACTCCGGCGCTTGCAGAGGCCCGGGGTTATTACTGCCGTGACTACTGAAAACCTGGTCCGCCTTATAGGTGGCCCAGATTCTGCGCCCTTCGCACCTTGGTATTAGGCTGGAAGTCGAAATAGAACGACGCGAAACCCCAATCGGAGTCATGATACTTTCAGCCGTCTCTGATCCCCAGAAGTTTGTTCACTGTTCGCTTGAACACGCCTTCATTGATGCGCATATACGTGTCCAACATAAGACTCTGAACTTCGAAAGACGTGTATATATCTCAGGCACGTTGGAGTCTGGCTTGTGAAGAACGAAGACACGGCCGCATGCGGTCGATCATCTTGTCTCAGTGCCGCTCCGAGCGGGCAGTCGCACGGCTCGCTATTCCGGCTAGAGGAAGACCAAAGTGCATATTACTCTGCATTCCTCCAGCGCACATCCTTCTCGCATGTCAACTTGCTAACGTACAATGGAAGCCACGGAATCAGACTTAGCATCAAGGCCTATGAGGAGCCGAGTGGTCATGCCATGCGATCACCGGTGATATTGTGACCCCTGAAGGCCTCAGTCATGGATCCGTCGATGCAGACTCAATGAACTTTGAGTATTGTTCGGTACGCTTCTCCCTTATGCAGGAGAAGATGTACACCCTCCGTCCAACCAACCTAGTCATCACTACGACTCGGTCCAACGACAACCCTGCGAATGCATCAGCACATGCGCGAGAGCTTAAGCTTGCACGTTTTCCTACTAGAACTTGAACATCACTTTCCGTTGGCGGCCGTTGCCGCTAAACGGATGATGTCGTCGCCAAGAAATAAGCGTCTGCAAAATTTCGGAACATCTAAACTTATCTCATCTTGAAATTCACACGTGATCGAGCAATACAGAATGAGCACGTACGGCGCATTTGCAGCGCACTCAAGGTAGACTCATGCCTGAGTTAGTGGATGGTTCCAGGATCTAGAACAGCGTCGTAGAAAGTCCAGGATCCACACTACCTGGGCGGGAGTGCAGCACCCGTCAATTGTCTTCATTCGTTTAGCAAGGTCACTTGACAAACAAGTTGGCTTGTCTTGTTAGATTCCTAATCCTGTTTCCGACACGACTTTTCTATATTGAAAAACACGTTCCTTTGAACCTACCGCTCAGAAAATGGACGCTGAATATCTCGAGCTGTTGTTCTGTCAATGATGAGACTAATGTTCGTACTCGACTGTTAAAGCTGCGGTCAATATTTTTCTGTGGACCTTGAAGTGGAAGTCAATATCGCCGCTTAAGACCGGCCGGTTCTGTAGAATCTGGGGAGGATTTTCCTCGCTTTTCTTAAATGGTTGTCTTTCGACCGTCCACTCAACGCTGGAAGTACGAGCTCAGTGTGCCCCGGTAGATCTCGGCCCCGGCGATGGTGACCGTGCTATACTGCGGGGCCATGCGAAATCCGTTGTTTCCGCTGTCGACCATGTATTCCGCCGGAACCAGCGTAATGAGCAGTTCCGTCGCGCTGAGGAGGCCCAGATTCTTCAGAATTGGGTTCAGCTGGAGGGCCCGGTTCTTGATTGCGGAGAAAGAATTGGTGGGCAGCTTGCTGGGTTTGGGCGACATGGGCACCTGGAGAGACATAAGGAAGGTCGCCAAAATCAGCGAAATGTCCAGACCGAGAACTACGTGTCATGGGCCCTCTGTCATGGGCCCTCTCATGAGCAGCCGAAAGAAACGAGGAAACGCCGATGTGCAGTTGGTTTGAAGCCTTATAATCGGGGGAGTGTCAACCTACTAGGAAAAGCCATCGAAGCAGAAAGAGTTCAAGAAGCAGAAGCATGGAATCTAGATGGGTTCAACGATAGAGAAAGAACGACAAGGCTGGCTGCACAGAGAATATCTCATATAATAGCTGATGGAAATCCAGACAGCTGCGGCCGTCACGTAATATGAAACGATATGCTGGCCTTTCAATCCATACCCGTCCTTTGCTGACTTCGGAGAGATGCCGTTCTGCAGCAACTTGATCTGGGATTGCTTTTGCGAAACGTTGTCCTGAAGGTCGAGCTGGACTGGAACCCGAGTCATGCGAAACGGAACAATTTAATCCGGCCCGTTTTTTGTATTTTAACGGGCCGGGCGACAGCCCGCGTCACAGGAAGGCTTTCGTCCTAGGTTGAAACCTGGTTTAGGGGTGTTGAATCAGATACCAGGCCGGTCTCTGATAGAAGGGCATCTAACCGAAGACAAACCAGGCTTTAACGGTGTTTTTAAAGTGTGAACGACGTCTTGAGAGGCGTGAACTGCTCGATCGAAGATGTGTGCCCGACTTTAAGCCACGTGACTTCAAATTTCGGCATCCGCAACCCGGGTGACGTAATTCCTGACCTGCGTCAGCGTCCCGAGGTAGTGCCAGTCCAGCTTCGACCCCACGCTGACGTCAGGCTTGTTCACCCACACCTCGATCAGCGCGCGCTCGTCCATGCGCGCCGAGATCTCGTGGAACATCAAGAGCTCCTCCGTCCCGGGCAGGTCGGGCAGGGTCCGCAGAATCCGGTAGCGGGACACGTTCCGGCCGACCTTCACCGGCTCCGGCATGACCGCGGTCAGGTTAGCGTAGTTAACCGCAAAATTGGGATACTGCGCGAGCAGCTCGGGGACGGTGTTAACCGGGGGAAGGTTAGCGGTAACGTTCGCCAGCAATTTCCGGACTGGGGCGGGGGGGTCTGCGGTGGTGACCGCGGCCGCGGCCGCGACGCCGCTCGCGACTGCGTTTGTCGTGTTCCAGATGTTCCGGGCCGGGGCGTACGCGTAACCCATGTTGGTTATGTTGAGGGTATCGCGCACGGTTATCGTCTCCAGGACTCCGTCTGCCCGGTAGAAGGTGAAGACGGAGTCCAGCCACGCCGCGTCGGCGAAGTTTTCGTTGTGCCCGGAGGTGGTGTTCGCGTTAGGCTGCTTCAGCCACTCCTCCCAGAGGCGATCCTGCGGGGTTAAGGGAACGGGTCAGGAGTGGGGTTAAAAAAGGGGTCGGGAAACGGAAAAAGTGTCCCGTTTGGTCCGAGTCGTAGCTGCTTGAGCCTCTCGAACGACGGCTCTTTTGGATTACCAGGGGCTTGAAAGAACAGAGCCGGATATATGGAAGCAAGGTCAGGACTTCAGTACAGTTTCGCACTCAGCAGAATGTGAACCTCGTGACCAGAAGCAGTGGACATTAGTTTGAGAGTCCCGTCTCCTGTCCGGGGAGGGGAACCGGTTGTCCTTTTACATCAGGATAACTCTGGGACTCTTAGCGGGAACATTTTCATCTGAGAGGAACTCCACCCGCTTTGGATGCATCTGTGCGAAGTGCGATGCGACGCACAGTGTGGTCGTATACCGGAGGCAATTCAACCAATCTGAATCTGCGTTTGCTAAGCCAACGAGAGCGTCGAAGTACCTACGATTAGTAAGACGCTGCTGCACGCGGAAGGCTACACCTGCGTCTCACTCCAAACCTGGGCGCTACTGACTTGTGCATCGCGCAACATGAGGAGGGTTTCGACGGTCTGAATTGGACCTGATCATCAGATAGCTAACTAGAAACTTAACCAAGCTGGTCTTGAAGAAGGTCACCTCAAACCAGCTCTCCTGTTTAACGGGTGATCTTCTATACTATCGAACCAGCAACTTACGATGTTGAAATGGTGAGACCAGAAGGCGGGGTCCCATCCTGAGGTGGAAAAGGACCCCATGTCGTGGAAGCGACACGTGGCGCACGATCCCGTGTCCGGGAAGAGCGACGTGTCCAGTCCCGGCTGCAGCTCCGCTTGCGCGCCGACGGCCGTGTGAGGCCAGCCGTGGAGAGCTTCTAACGTTCCCTGGTTTCCGAATTGGCTCTGCAGGAGGGTGGAAAAAGCCGTGTGTAAGCTATGGCAACTGTATACGATAACATAGAACGACGTTGTCTATTTGCTGCCCGGCTCGGAATAGATTTGGACTTGGTTCGGACCCGTTTCAGTGCGCTTTTGGACATCTCTTGTCCGAACAATTGGTCCGAGGCTTTCGAGACCGCTTCGGAATGGAATTATGGGGTTCGTGCCTGGTTCGGACACGTACGAATGAAAACGCTTTCTCGCAGTGAAATGCTTAGCTGTTTCCTGTTTCTTTGGGATTTATCAAATTCCCGTTGCTTCTATTTGCCGACCTGGCTTTGGATAAAAGAATGGTCCTCCAGCCCAGGTTCGAGGATCGTTCAGAACAGGGTTACAGAAATCCTAGCCAATCAAGTCACTGGATGCCTGCACCCCCCAACACATGGAACGGGGCAGACGAAGCATCTAGCATGCACGCTCCGTTTAAGATTCGTTGCAGACTGAGCATCCTACAATCAACCCAGAATTGCATTTCCTTATCCGCATTTCCACAAGACTTCTTTGTCTTTAAACTCCTTCGTTCGACTTCACATCCGTTACTTCGCCCCACCGTCACGCTTCTTGTTTTTCGCATCGACATGAACCCGAAAACCAACCCAGCTCGTTTCCATTCCTGGAACAGCACTCCCAAACTCAACTGGGCTTTTTGAGCACTTTGACAACCGGGATCTGACTCGACTTACCACGCTTGTGTCACGCAACCCGTGGAATAGAACCGGGTCCGTGACCGCAGTGATGGCTTTGTAGACCTCCTGGGGTGAGCAGTACCGATTCATCATCTTGATGCTGGTGGAGTCGTTTTGGGTGCGCTTCTGGTCGAACAGAGGCGAGGTACGGTTGCGGTACTGGTTGATCAACCAGACGCCTGCAAATGAATGATGACGAACGACGAATTAACTCGTGTCTTATCGAAGATATCATGTGTGCCAGTATCAAATGTCTTGCAGAAGCAAAGAAAAGAAACTCTTGCACGATTTCTCGCTCTTGCGTTCAGACAGGCTTACGTTTTGCTGAGCTTCGATAAAAACGAGGCCTACATGAGTGTAGACGACATTCATGCGATCACCAAGGGACAGGTTATTGATCTGCGACTCTTTTCTGTCAGCAGGTTAGGAACAAATTCTTCTGACATTAGATCACAACACAGGACCGTTTCCCTTCTGGCCAATGCTGGTTACGGATGTGACCAGACAATCAACTGATGGAAGAGCATCTAGTTTGTGCCGAACCAGGCCTGTTTGGCTGTGCTTCTGTTCAATGCAAGGGAGACCAGTACGAGAAAGAATGCTCACCCTCCGGATTGTCCCACTCCTGCAAAAAAGGCAGACGAACGTCAGGACCCCAGTTCAATTGAGCCCAGATATAGACCTTCACTGGTTCTCTTTTGCTAAGATCACAAATTGTCGGTGTTTTGATTTGGGCCCCCAGCTTTGGAGATAGATCCCCTTACGATAACATACCCATCTGATATTGCGAAGTTGGAAGTATGGTCAGAGGCACAGAAAGCACATGCGAAATTAAGCATGGCGGAAGATTGAGCAAGTGAGAAATGCTTGAGTGCGGCAGAGCGCTTTCGCGATGCTTTCGGGGGTGAATTTGAATTCCGACTTTACAGCACACGAGTTTCGGTGCAATAGCAAAACCGCCCAATAGCGAAACACACAAGAAATGACCGTGTGCCTAAACTTGATTAAAGGCTGTTGGTTTAGTGCCCACCTATGAAGATTGTGAACTTCGTCATAAGTTGCGTGCCCATTAACCGAGCATGGTTAGGAACGAAACCTTCGTGTGACAAGGCCAGGCAAGGGTCACGAGCTTACCCAGTAAGGCATGGCGAAGGTCGGGTCGTTGAGCAGATACTGCATCGATTGCTCGAAGTAGAAGATCTCGGCGCGGTGCCACGGCAGGAAATGCCAGCCGTTATGGATGTAACCCTGGGTTTTGGCGGTAGTGCAGTGGTGGCAATGGACCTGCGTGGGGGTTAAGTACTTCGTATCATAACCCAAATCTTCGAAAAGTTTAACCAGCCGTTATGGATGTAACCCTGGGTTTTGGCGGTAGTGCAGTGGTGGCAATGAACCTGCGTGGGGGTTAAGTACTTCGTACCATAACCCGAATCTTCAAAAAAGTTTAACCAGTCGTTATGGACGTGCGCGTGGGTAAAATACCTTACGCCATGACTCCTTGCCTGTCTTTCGCTGGCTCCACGAACGAACTGCATCCGATTCAGCCCTTTGGAAGCAACCGTACTCCTGACCCTTCCGCGCTTCTACCCAAGATCAGGTTTGCGAGTGTATTCAGCATCAGGGATAACGGTTGAGTTAAGGTTAAGGTGGTCCCTACCCTGGCTTGCCTGAGGAGACTGTTTGGGCTATTTGGGCCTTGGGCCCTCATCAGTTAGAAGCCCTGCGCATCATCAGGGATGAGGGTTAACTTAAGGTTAAGGTTAAGCTGGCCTTACTCTAGCTTGCCTGAGGAGACTGTTGGGGCTGTTTGGGCCTTGGGTCCTCATCAGCTTGAAGCCGCGCGCGAGTTTCTCCATGTACACTGTGTCGTTTTGGACGTCCAACCAGGAGCGCCGGACGACGATGGGGCGGCTCGGACCATACGGTTGCCAAGCCTGAAGACAAAATGAACCAAACCGGGTTAGAGATGGGTCGATGCCCTTAAGCTTCCACCAGATAAGGCTGGTCATGAGCTAGTTAAAAGTACTTTGAACGTCGAGTTAGGAGCGCCAGGCCTGAAAGCACAGGACGAAACGACCGTTAACCGAGCTGGGTTAGCCATGGGTTGAGGCGCTTTTCCAGACCAGGCTGGTTAAGAGCTGGTTAAGTAACCCGTTGAGCAGTAGGACTGGAAGCGAGGTCTGTCTGGGTCTGGCAAGAAAACGGATGCCAGATTAGCAAGGGACTGTCACTTATGGAAAAGGCAGCAATGGAGGCACTCAGAAGTTAAGACTCTAGTAGAGATGAGCAGAGCAGAAATGGGTTCGTGACAAACAATCAAACAGAGGGTGGATCATATGTAAGAGCTGTAAAAAGTTGGACGCCACCAAGTCAGTACTAGAGAGGTAGATATATTGAAGGGGAGTGATTGGCTGAGGCCCCCAGTATAGAAAGGATAGTAGAGAGAGTTGAAAGACAGTTGTTTGAGGATGGATTGGCCAAGGAAGCAGGTGAAAGTTGATATGAAGCTCGTCAGAGACCAGATGAGAAGTTGCAAGGAGTCTAACTTGAACATGGGCACCAAAATCGTGAAAGGGATTTAGTAATGAAGGTGACTCGTGGAGAACACATTTATATGCTGCAATAATATATGTACATTGAGGAGAAAGGGGAATTAGAAAAACAAAGTTGCTCAAACTCAACCAGATGAATGTCTGCAGCTTAACAAAGCCATCCAAAGTTTAGCTCTTTAAGGAAGACAGCAGATTAAGGTCATCATTGCCAGCCATTGTGATTAAGGGTAATCATTGCCAGCTGTCAAGTCCAACACCCTGTGAGAATGTTGACCTTTCCTGTTGTGCAAACGCGGCGAGCAAATATAGTATGTCCTGGTAAATGAAAGGTCCTCACAATGCAACTGGTAAAGGCCCTGGTTCTGGGACTGAACCCAGTTTCTAGACAGAGACTTCCATCCCAAATGCTGCGCAAATTCATGTTATGGAGCGGCTTCAGAATAAACCTTCAATTCAGACAATGCTGGATCAATCACATCCAAGAAACTAATACATTGTTCATGTATGACAATTCCCCAGTATGGGAGGAAGAACGGAACAGACGCTGTTAGCTGCGCCGATTCACCAGCCCCACAAAGATGCAGGACAATGCTGTTCCGTAACTGGTACTCTGAAATTCTAACGCACAGCATTTCAGCTGAGGCGAGTGGTGGACAAAGTGCGAGCAACACAAATCTCTATAAGAACAAAACAGGGGGAAAAATCAGTGGGCTCCCAGCTCCTCACCACAGGAGCGCCCGCGTAAGGCGGCGGGCAGCAGTTCCCCAGGTCCGTCCCCTTCTCCTTCTCGTCCGTCACGGTACCCGACGCCGTAAGGAGCATGGCATTGCCGGAGCCGTCGCTCGCAGTCCCCGGGAGGCTTTCGCACTGGTTGATGACGTCAGGAGTGATGTAAAGCCCCCCGTCGGGCTGAAAACCCAACAGGCCCCCGGAGTACCCGGGCTTTGTTGCATTGCCGGACGAGAGGCTGATGGCGGGCGCGGGCGCCGACGCGTTGGCGGTGCGGTTGCTGCGAATGACGATCTGCGCGCGGGAGGCGTCGGGCGCGCAGAGGAAGAGCGACGCGAGGAGGAGCGCCACACAGGCCACGCGGGGGGCCATCATTGGGACGGCGGAGGGAATGCTGGCAGCTGGCAATGCGGGCGTAATATGCAAGCTTGCGAGCTTGCAATTAGTGCGCTGGCCGTGCGAAGTTACTGAGCTTGGACGCCCGGGCAAACAACCAAGTGAAGTCCCTTCCTAGCGAATCCCTTCCTTCATTTGAAACGTTTTTCTATGGACCCAGCTAGGTACCTACCTCAGGCTCCAGGCTGCTCTGTTGCTCATGATCTCACCTAGGAAGGTAGGTACTCTTCTTTGGCTTCCTGACAGTAAGTAAAATAATTACCGTACCCATCATGGATTCCTGCTCAGTGCACATGACTTGTACCTTCTTACCTTTACCTACCTAGGTAGGTATCTGCAACCATATCTAGGTACTACCGTCCCTGTTGCTTCAAGCGTCAAGGTTCAAAATACTTACCTACATAGGTACAGCTACCCATTGAACCAGGTGAATAGGTAAGTAGGTACCTGTAGTTGTTACTTTTAGCGCGGCTGTGTTGTAGCTTTGTACGATGTAGGCTAGGTAGGTACTAGGTAGGTACCTCCGGCAGAGGTACCTACGGTTGCAAGCAGCCAGCAGGACACAGGACTGACTACCGTAGGTACCTGTCTACAATAATTTTAAGAGCAAAAAGCCAGTAGCCACTGGACTCTGGAATCCCTGTGGACTGTGATTGGCTGAGCTACTCTAGTGTCGGGATTGGGTCTTCGGTAGTTTACCGGGGGAGCTTTCCAAGCTCGCGCTCGCTTTGCTTACGTAAAAGCTCGTTTTGCGCACGTCGTCAAAATGTAAGCTCGCTTTGCTGACGTCATCACGCCTTTCTGCTCGGTTTTACTCTGACTAGTATAGGATCAAAATCTGTGAAATTTGGATGCAGCTTCAATCTCCTCGGAAGCGAGCCCCGAGGCTGGTATTAGGACTCAAGTACCTCCGGTACTTCGACTACCGGTCGAGATGGTATACCTACCGGTATGTGGAACTTGTTCCATATAATGCCTGATGTTTAGGTCCCAGGACCGCGCGCCAGCGGCAATAATCGAAGAATGCGGTCCGCAAATTCTTTTAGTTAAAGTCGAAAGCAGTGTTGCGATTGGGTGCCCCGTCCCTGGTAAAAAGGCACCCGATGGTCGCCCCAGACCCCCAAAGGGGGTCGTGAGGGTGCCCATAGGGCACCCGATCAGGGGTTCGAAGGTGCCCATGGGGCACCCAATGCAAATCGTCAGGGTGTCCACTGTCCATACCGTATCTGACTCTGAGGCTGGGGGGTCCAGAATTGCAATTTGCGACAGTGCCCCTCGGCAAGAAAGTTGCCTGGCATAAGCGAACCGGGGCGAAATGTCGAAGACCGATTGTCACTGGTGAGTCGTGACTGCAGTCTGCCACTCCTGAGTCCGGAGGTTCGAAGCTGAATCCCCGGTCCCTTGTCCCTGTCACGCACTAGTGCAGCCCGCCGCGGCGCCTGGCCCGCGCACCCCTCAGGCTCGCGCGCGCGCGTACCGTGACCGCAACTCAGTCCTGACTGAATGCAGCCTCTGCATTGCCGTGTTGAAGGTCTGGAGGACTCTTGGAAGGTGGCGCTCCCCATTCCCACTCAGAGGTGACCAGGCAAGATGGTGGGTGAAGCTGTGCTCCTGCTCGTCGCGCTTGCTTCCGTCTTTTACAGCATGGCTGGCAAGGGAGGCAAGCAGCAACCCAAAGGAACCCCTAGAGATAGCGGGAAGACAGGCCCTGGTGGCAAGCAAGCCAGCGTGGCAAGCTTCTTCAAACCTGTAGGAGCGGCCACCCAAACCCAGCCCCACGACCAGCCTACGCCAGTCGTGACACAAGCAACCGCGATGCAAGCTCAGGGTGGAGCAGCTCAGGGGGTTCCTGAGGCAGCCACCATTCCAGATCTAAACGAAAGCCCCGTCGATCCACCAATTGTAGAGCAGGTGCAAGGTCTTCCGCCCCTTCCTGCAAGGAGACCAGCTGAGCAGGCTGCAGAGCCCAGTTCCTCCTCTGATTCGGAAGGCGACCAGGCAAAGAAGAAGAGGAAGAGAACATTCCAGGTCAAGTGGGTGCTGCCAGAAACACAGGGTGGTTACGGGCTAACCTGGATTGAAGATCTGGTCGTTGACAAGATGACGGGCGCCAGGAGACTTTTCTGCAAGACGTGTCGAGAGGCTAAGCTGAAGAATGATTTCACTGAGGGGGGGTCGTCAAGCTACAGGTTGCACACCCTGAGGAAACACGCCAAGAGCGGTGATCACAGGACGGCACAGGCTGCAGATGACAGAGTCGCTCGCGCAGGCGCGATCCACCAAGCGGCTGCAGCGCAAGCATCTGAGGCGGAGGCCAAGTTGCATAACAACATTGCTTTGGCGTACTGGTTGTGTTGGGAGCTCCTGCCTTTCCTGAAAATGGCGAGTCTGTGTGACCTGTTCAAGCAACGAGGGTGAGCACGTTGGTATCAGCGCTTTGATCAGACGTTCCGTTCCAAATCCTGATTGTAATGTGTGATTGTCACTGGCAAGTTCGAAGGAGATTGGGCCCTGCTTGTTCTGACTTGGTCGTGGGCTGCTTGTTCTGACCTGGTTTTGGGTTTGAATATCGGTCGAGTGTTTACATGAGTGTTGAAGTCTGCGCATCGTTCTTGAAAGCTTTAGACACAACCAGGTGCGGATCAATGGCCGCTGATATCTTGCAGAATGCATAGTGGCTGCCGCTTGGGTGATTCAGATGTGGCAATGAATGATAGTCAGGGTTTTTTAGAGGCAAGTATCTGGTCTTTGTTCATTCAGGTTTGACAAGCTGCACCATAAGCACCAGGCCAGAGACGCATGCAAGGAGTTCGCTGAAGCTGCAAGCGACGTGCTATCAGAAGAGGAGTCTGAAGACGTTAAGCGGAGCCCTTTCTTTGGCCTCATTGTGGACGAGAGCACATCTATGTCGGTGGACGAGCACATGATCGCGTACGTGGTCTTCATGAAGGGGGCCACAGTTGTGGTAAGAAAATCTGCGTAGAAGACTCAAGGGTTAGTAGGAATCTATGCCTCTGCAGCAAGCACACTGAATCCGGGTCAAAGTCAAAATGTGTCCCCCTTGTCCATGAAGGATTTCTTGCATTGGTTTTCTGTTGCAATCTGAATGATAGCCCACAGGGTGCAGGATTCTTGAAGTTTGATATGATCCAAAGTTCAAGACTTTGTGGCTGCAAAGACTTGTTGTGCAAATTTGCGTACTGACTATACATTTAGCACTTTCATGCAGGTACGTTTTGTGGAGCTCGTTCAAGTTGCGGCGACAACGGCAGTCAGCTTGAAGGCGTCCATCATGGAGCTGCTGAATCGGAGAGGCTGGGACGTGCTCAAAATGATGGGCTTCGGGAGTGATGGTGCTGCGGTAATGGTTGGTAAGTCAGGTTGACACTTGCTCGGCTTACGCTTGATACGTATTGTCAACCAGGAGAATTGCTTCAATGCAGATTATCCTGCGCAACAATCCTCTGGAGAACATTCATTGATGTTGGCTTGAGTTGTCCAGATGCATTGTCCGGAAGCATTTGCAAAGATGTGTTTGCTTAGTGAATCCTGGACCTGAACCTTCATGTTCACCAGTCTTCAAGGAGCCAGTCTTAGGTGTCTTAGGTGCATAATGTCTGAATCTTTTGCTCAAAAGTTGGTAAGCATGTGCACATGAGCTTGCTTTTTAGTAGCTGATCTTGTATTCCTCTTACTCAATGCAGGCGTGCACGGCGGCGTGTCTACACTCCTGGTCAAAGAGGAGAACCCCTTCATGACCAGCTCCCACTGCGGTGCTCATCGAGAGGCGCTGGCTGCTAAGGACGCTGCTGACAGTTGCGCGTACTCCAAGGACTTTGACAACATCGTCAACTCTCTGGCGGTCTTCTTTGCCCGCTCACCCCAGCGGTCTGCCAAGCTGAAGGAGGTGCAGGCTGAGGTCGGCGACAAATCTCTTCGGCTTGCTAAGCTGCACAAAGTCCGCTGGCTCTCCCGCTGCCAGGCTGTCCAGAGTATCTTCCGCTCACACCATGAGTTGCTAGTCCTCTTCGCTCCCGGTGGCCCCGAGCCTCATCCCGAGCATTTCGAGAACCTCTCGTCTTTCCGCTTCATCTTCGCCCTGTGCTTTCTGGTAGTCCTTCTTGAGCAACTCAGCATCCTCAACAAAGCATTCCAGCGCGCTTGGGTAGACCCAACTCAGGTCAAGCAACACGTCGATTCTACCATCAGCGCCATCCAAGAGTACTTCATAAACACCAGCGACGAGGCGGGTCCGGACGATCTGCCCGGAGGATTGGGGTCAGAGGTTAGATCTTTTTGGTTCAAGTTCTTGGTGTGGAAGGAGGCGGGGTACGTCGACCGGTTCAAGTACAGCGGGTTTGACGTGCGCTTCAGTCCCGAGGGGCCCGTTGCAGACGCGGCGTTTTGCAAGGCTTTCATGGTGTCCTACGCGAAGGGGGTGGTTAAAAATCTGCAGGAGAGGTTTCCGGACCGCGCTCTCTTCGAGTCCTTCGCCATTTTCTCGCCGGCCCATTACCCGTCGACCTTGGCCCGTCTATCCGACTGGGGCACGGGGCATCTTGAGGTGCTCAAGCAGCAGTATGGAGTTGAGAGAACCGCCCGCGGGGTGGTCTTCGAGCCCATAGTCGACTGGGATGCGGTTTTGACCGAGTGGCCGCGTTTCAAGTCGGTGATCTTTCAGATGCGCCAAGCTGCCGCCACTAGCGTAGACGGGTTCCCATCCTTGGACGAGGTCGTCTGCCGACTCTACGGGGACCCTCATAGCCGGGAGTCCTACCCCAACCTCCTCAAACTCGGTTGCATAGCACTGGTGCAGGCGTGCTCTAGTGCTGAGGCTGAGAGAGGCTTTTCCTTGAGGACCCTCATCCATAGCAAGTTGCGCAATAGGTTGAAAATAGGGGCACTAGATGATTGCATGAGGATTAAGTTATGCGGTCCAGCGAAGCCCGATTCCGAGTTCTTGAGCAAGGTGTATAGGAAGTGGCTGAGCAGGAAGCCTCGTCGAGTATGGCGGGATAATCCGGCTGTGCTCGAGGAGCTTGACTTATTCCAGTCAGACGACGAATGTTGAATAGAATTCACCTTTGCATATTTTGAATCATATTCATGTGGTAGGACGAGTTTGCTGTGTTGTGGATTGAAATATCAGTGTACATTGTAACCATACATAAGGCAATAATGATTGTGCAATATAGCCTCAACTTTATAGGTATTCTGGAATGTTCATGCAGCCAGCGAGACGAACTTTCAAAACCGTGCGTGGCTAGGAGCCTAGGAAAGTGGCCGCCCACTGGGCGTCTAGCATGATCAAGCATCGGGGCTCGAGAATGCGCAGCCCTCTTCATGCGTTAATTCAAAGCCTGGATATCATGGTTATGGACCAATCGGAATTTGACTGGCATGTTGCAAGCCTTCAGTGATTTCATGATTCCAATGACTTATTGGATGCATACATACAGTGAGATATGTATGTATGGATGTATTGACTCCACCCCCCGACTCCACTCATGCTGCATGCAATCGGTGAATAACCTGATGGTCTCTTTTCGTACGGTACTCGCGAGTCTGCCAATGTGGCTCAGGCTCCGAGGGGGACCTCGGGCAGTGGGCACCCAATGACGGCTCCGGGGGTGCCAGTCGGACCAGTCACCGGACACCCTATCGTGGCCCCGAAGGGGCCTGCGGGCACCCGATGAAGACCCCGGGGGTTCCCCCCGGACACCCAAAAGTAGCCGGAAGGGTGCCCACGGCCACCCAATTCAAAAAGATAATCGCAACACTGGTCGAAAGTACAGCAGGGAAGCCCAGGCCCCGGCAACGGCGGCAGTTCGAAATCCGGGACGTCGCAGTGCCCGGCTCTGCCGTTCAATGGCGGAAATCAGGTCGGTGTGACCTATTCAAGGAGTCGCCAAAAATACTCGACGTGCCGCCAGCGGCAACCTGCCCGAGATTCGACGTCAGAATCGTCGAATGCCATACTTGACTCGCCGCCGCTGGATATCACAGCCAGCGGCAATATATTGGACTGGGATCTGGAATCTGGATACCGTCTCGTTGTCACGGTGAGTCGGAAGATCACGGGATGGCAATTTGTTCGACCCGGCATGGTCGGTGCGTCTGACTGGTATGAAGTCGCCGCAAATTATGTTTGACCTGCGGCCAGCGGCAACCCACGGCAATCTGGTACCTCATGCAATTTAGTAGAGTGAAAATGATTGAAATACTAACAAGAGTATGACGTCATCAAGATGACGTCATGAATTTCAAAGAAAAAATTTTTCGCAAAAATTGATCAATTTATTGATTTATAAGCTCGCTTGCTAAACTACTGATTACCTCTATCTCCTCTAGTGTCTAGGTAGTGTATTGGCACGACCCACTCGTACCAGTAAAAAAGTGTAGATATCGTTTTAGCCCGGCCAATGGCAAAAGTGCCCCGTAATAGGGGGTGGTTAAGACGTAAAATTTAGCCCAGCCCAGGTTTGCGAACTGGAAAAAGGAAATATAATAGTTTCCGGAAACAGCTGGTGTGAATTGTCCGTGCCACGACGGTAGCTCTCTGCGGTGCTGACACTGCTGACTCCTGAGTGCTTTGGCGTGAGTCGTGACCAGTAATGCATTGATGAGCACGTACCCCCTGTAAAGCAGGGTAAACAGGGTGACGATCGAGCATCATGGTGGCCGGTACCTATATTTATTGCCGTGCCAGAGGTTAAGAACCGGCAGCTGGACACTCTACAGTGCACACTGCAGTACAACCCGGGCCGGCCGAAGTTTTTGCCGGCCCGCCGCCAGCCAGTATCTACGCCGCCGAGGATGACGCCAGGCTACCGTCCTACCGATAATTGCGCATAAGTCTTCCATTCGGCGAATATACGCTGCAGTAATCATAAGGTCCTTCTACCGGGCAAGAACAACCTACTAACGCTAACCTGGATATTCACCGGTCCCGCGCCCTATCCTACATTAACCACAAGACTTAACCTTGCCGTTCTCCGGGCATGATTTCTTCATTCAAGGGGCTTATCAATCATAGGATCGAAGTCTCAGTTATTACGGCAGAACTCGGTGTCCAAATTAATTTCGTAATGATGCGTGATAATTTACCGGTGCCCAATCCAGAGTCCAGAGTCCAGACCAGTCGGCGTGAGTTCACGAAGCACTCTTCTCTCAGCGTGAGTTGTCCTTGTGAGTCAGTGAGTTGTCCTCGCTGATCTGATAGCCTATGAAGAAACCTCGACTAATTGAATACACTTGGTACTAACCTGTGCTCGTAGCTGTACCGACGCCGACGGTACCCCAGCTGTCCAATGTCCGCGGAGCGTTGTTTAGCGCCTCAGGCTCTATGTACCGTACATTCATCCTGCACAGTGCACATACCTACCTACCTATTTGAACGACAATCATATCTGGTGAAAGCTGAGCATCAGCACGCAGTACGGTATGATAGCCATCTCCAAGCCAGCTGCAGCCTGCCCCAGCTTGTAGAGTTGTAGAGCTAGTGCGTTCATTGGCCGGTCTTAATTCTCAATTTTGAGTCGGCCGTCTGTTGCACTCTACAGCCTCTGATCGGCTGAGTGCATTTCTTACCTTTCAAACGACGGCACAGCTGACAGCTAGTGGCAGCTTCAAGTTGTCTGGAAGAGGCTGGATCCGGAAATTCTTCTCTTGCTGGGTCAGTTCGCAGCTCACCCGAGCGCCAGATTGCATCTCACCCCAATAACATTCACGAGTCTTGGCACGTCTCTAGCCAAACTACTTTGAATTCTCGGCGCCACCGCCAGCTTGCCTCTAGTTACAGCTGTTGGGCTACAATTGCCGCTGATCACCAATTAATGCTGGCCCGGCGCGCGGCACCAGTGAATTGAACCAGCTCCACAGAGCGCACTGCATATTCTTTGTTTGCTCCTTCAGTCGTTTGCGTATACATACACTGATCTGATCTGATGATGGCCTCATCCCTGAGCGTCGCCCGCTTTTGCGGGCAGTCTGCCGCGCCCTTTGCCAGAACAGCGTCGTCGTCTGCTGCGGCGGGCGCTCAAAATGCAGACGGTGTCAATGTGCGCGGCAGCAATGCCGGCAGGGAGCTTGTTTGCCGCGGGAATATGTGGGGCCGGAAGATCCAGTACGCGCCAGTTGAGGCCTTTCCTTGCAGAGGAAGCAAAGTCAAGGTGAGTGGGTGCCGGAACGGCTGACCTTGAGCAGGTTCTCTAACCAGGTTCTTTAACCAGGTTCTTTAAACAAGTTCAGCAGGTCCAGAACTTGCCCTTCTGCTGAGAAATTCTAGCTTTGCGGACGCAGAACCGGGGGCTGAAGAAGCGCCGCTACAGGGGAATGCGGCTGGATGAGATCCCAATGCGCAGCGGACGACTGGAGGACGTTATTTTAGAGAATTGCTGGAATTCGTGTATCTGGCATTGACTGGATTGGCATTGGATTCTTACGGGCTCGCTTGAGCTTTTGGCTGTTGCATTGCATTTCCTTTCAATTTGAAATTGACGGGTTCAAATGTGAGGGTCAATCAAACCAATTATCCCAACCCAACACCCTACCCCAAAGGTTTCAGCTTGATTTGGGCAACGGCCAATTCTTGGTCATTTGACAATGCCTGTTCAGAAATGCGATAGGCAGCCTCCCTAAATTGGCTTTGTAAGATTTGTGGTTCTTCCTGAATTGCATGATCAGAATTGCGCCAGGACTCTCCTTAGTGCCTTCAGGCTGAAGCAACTCACTTTTGCACCCTGCTCATGTGTTCGTAAGCAAAAATCTGATCTGCACCAATGCTGGTCAAAATTGGAGTTTGAAACCCCAAAGTGGGTAATGCACCCTGATCTCCTTTCTTCAGAGATCTAACTGCCTCTGAAAAACCTTGGACGAAGAACTCACAAGTGACCGGGCTTGACTGTTATGAGCACAGTACGTTTCAGATGCAGACTCCTAAGCTGCAGGTGTCCCTGATCAGCATGGGCGAGACTCCGACTTCAGAACAAGTAACCGAGCGGAATCTTCACCATAGACTCCTTTCTACAGGCGTCCGCAATCAGCATGAGCTGGACCCAACTTCAGAACAAGTAACCAAGCGGATTCCCTGCCATAGACTCCTTTCTGCAGGCGTGCCATTCAGCATGAGCTAGCACCAATTTGGGAGCCAGTGAACGAGCGGACTTTTTGACTGCAGACTCCTTTCTGGTGGCTGCCCCACTCAGCATTGGCTAAACCCAATCTCGAAGCCAGTAACCGGGCAGACTTGTAGACTGCAAACCCCTTTCTGTGGGCATCCCCAATTAGCATTGGCTAAACCCAATTACAGAACCAGTAACCGAGCAGACTTTTTGACTGCAAACCCCTTTCTGCAGGCATGTCCAACTAGCATGAGCTGGACCGCGCTTCAGAACATGTAACCAAGCGGACTCTGCACCATAGATTTCTTTCTACAGGTGACCCCAATCAGCCTGAGCTGGACCCGACTTCAGAACCAGTACCCGAGCAGAGTTTCTGACTCAAACTCCTCTCTGCAGGCGTCCCCAATCAGCCGCATGGGCTGGACTCGATTTGGAACCAGCAAACGAGCGGACTTTTTGACTGCAAATCCCTTACTTTCTGCAGGCATCCCCTATTAGCATGAGCTAGCACTGATTTTAGATTCAGTCACCGGGCAGACATTTGAACTGCAAACCCCTTTCTGCAGGCGTCCCCAATCAGCATGGGCTGGACCCAGATGCCGGGCGGCCTCAAAACCATCAGCAGTGGGGACGAGAAAACGGTAGTGGGCACCGATACTGCGAACAACGTATATCTGTTCGACGGCACTGAATGGAGCCAGGCAACTGGGAAGATGGCGCAGGTTTCGGCCGGATTTAGCGGCATGTGGGCTGTTGACAGACAGAATCAGCTGTACCAGTGGTAAGTTGGTAAACTTCTTACACAAGAAGTTACCAGTGTTAACCAGGCTTGTTTTCTGGCTGGTCAAGAGCCCTTCAACCAGGGGAACCTGATTCGATTTTGGTACCAGCCCTTCAATCAATCGTGATTAGGGGCTCGTGATTAGGGGCTCCTTTTGTTACCGTTTGCGCAATTGTCCGGGAAAGAATTTTGGGTGGGTTCAAGTCGGTTACTCACCAGTCGCGGCTCAGGTTGACGGTTTGTACACTGCTTGGAAGCAGTTTATCAAACCCCAATCAGCAAAGCATTACTTCTTCGTAAGCAGTCACTTGTCAGCGAAAACAAGACGTTAACCGAATCATAACCGAGTCATAACCTGTTTTTGGCCCGTGGTTTGGCAGGGACGAAGCCGCCCCGGAGTTTGTTGAGGTCACTCCAATGCCCGGCAGCGGGAAAATCGCCCACGTGGCCTCCGGGCAAGACGTGTACGTCATCGACACGAAACGCCAGATCTTCAAGTACCAGGGAGAAGGTGTGCGGACTCGAGATTTCTCCTCTGTCAAGCTCTGATCCGGTTAGAAGGAGAGCCTCGAAGTTCAGTTCCCTAGCGGAGGTTGATATCAGCCTTATTGACCAGTCTTAAATCTGATAATCATCGGACCTCTTCCCGACCCAGATCCTCTTTCGGACGGTGTCAAGAGGGGTGAAGGTCAACCTCTCGAGACTAGGGACAGATCGTTCGAAATCAGGGTCCAAGTCGACCGCAAACAGAGATTGATGGCTCTGATAAAAATGGCAATATCGCCTATGAGCAAGCTATGTTCCAGCGTCTTTTTGGTGATATTCACAACCGAACAGCCCCTTGTTGCTACATGCACGCCTGTTCACTTCTCGAGAAAGAGGGGCGTACCAGTTTCCATGCGGATGCTCTTCTCAGAGGGGCTGCAATGAAGATTGGCAAGAATGTAACAACTCAGTGTCGCCCTTTCGGTTTTGACAGAAAGTTATCGCCCTTAACTAAGCTTGATCTACGGGCGATCGACCAAACGTAAACCAAGTTTCTTTTGAGTAGAAGAGCACTGAACCAGAGACTAACCACGTTAGGTTTACGGTCCCTGTTCCCTTCATTCCAGACCCATTGTTTGACACCGGTGCTGCGCCAACAAGGTCTGTCGGTCCTTCAATTAATTTCTTTGAACGGTCGAGCGCTAGCACAGTTGAATCCTTGCATGATCCTAGTAACAACGGGCATGTGCTTTGAGCAGCTTCTGACCCCAAAGTCAGCTTAAGTGATAATAAGCGGCGTTGCATGAAACTGGTGTCATGCTGCAGGCAAGTGGATCCAGCTCGACGGCTTGCTGGACGCGATTGACACCAACGATTACGGCGACCTCTGGGGCATCCAACTGGGCGAATTAAAGAAGGTGTACCGACGCTTCTCGGGGCGGTGGGTGTACGTCCCCGGGCCCGAGGGGCGCGACAGTGTCAAGCAGGTGCCAAATAATCCCTTCTCTCTTTTCCTTTTTCGTACTCGGTCAACGGGCAGTTAACCGGACGTTCCACGTTCTTTCGATAGAAGGCACTGAACGAAATCTTTCTCTTCAGGTATCATGCTTGGTTAAGGTGCAATTAAGCGGACGTGAACCACGTTCTTCGATAGAAGGGCATCGAATCAGCCACAGATATTTCCTCGTTGATTAACGTACTTGGTCAACGGGCATTTAACCGGATGTAAACCACAATGTCTTGATAGAAGGCCACAGATTGGCCAGTAACGAGGTCTGTAGACAGATCTTCGGATCCTGCCTGTGTCCCTTTACCAGCTTCTCCAATGCCCTTTTGAAGCGTTCGATCGTAGACCCTAGAGCGCGTCTCCGGACCATTCAGAACGGCACCCTCAGCCCCCTTTCACGACCTTTATTGGCATCCTACAGCCACTTGAGATGAACGAGGTCGTTTTGTCTAAGAAGGCACTGTCTGAGGCTCCCCCGGTTATCAAGCTGGCTTGTACCGGGAACACGTTTACGGTTCCTTCACCGTGTATCCGGTTCCCAACGATGCACAGCAGTACCCTAAGATTGGCTGTCTCAACCACCTTTTTGTCTCAACGTCCTGGCAGCAACCTTCGAGACCTAACTCAGATCCTCAGTCTTTTTATACTTCAATTCTTTGAGCCCAAAATCACACGCTAACCCCCTGCTTGCGAAATTCCGTCCACATTTCCACTGGCCTGTGCGGTCTGTGGGCGGTAGACGCCAAAGGCGGAGGGTACCGTTGGATCCCAACAGGAGCGAAATCCGCGCAAGATTTAAAAGAAAAAAGAGTTCTTTCGGTTCAGTCTTCTTTTGCTTCAAGTTTTAGAGCCCAAAATAATCTCCTCGAATCCCTGATTCTGGATATCCCGTCCAGATTTCCACTGGTCTGTGCGGAGTATGGGCGGTGGACGCCAAAGGCAGCATCTTCCGCTGGGTTATGAACACGAGTGAAACGGGCGCTTGGTTCAAGGAAGAGGGATCCCTCTCGGCCATCAGCGCGGGTTACCCCACCGTCTGGGGCCTGGACAAGAACGGCAAGGTGTACAGATATACAGTGTAAACTGGTGATAGCCATTGATGCCACGTAAGCTCCCGGCGCTTGTCTAATTGTTGCCCTGATTTTTAGTTGGCACAAATCAGTGGGTACAAGCTACAGGAGAAAACCACACCTAACCAAGCCTGGTTAGACACGCGTTAGATGCTCTTTTGCTGATCAGGTTCTGGTCAACGGCCGTTAACCAGGTTTGGTTAGTAGCGAAACAGTTTTGTGGATCAGTTGAACGCCCTTGGGCTCCGACTTATGCCGTCAGCTGTTTGCTGGTTTTTGGACGCTTTCTTAGCTGCCAAGTGTTTGTGTGGCTAATGTGTTCCTATGAAGGCGTGCGGCGGTTGCCTTCGAATCGGGGTTTCGCAAAGCCCAGCTATTGCTCGATTGTCTTACGTAATTCTGGATTTTGAAAATTGCCAATCCCACCGGCGCCCACTTGTCACCGTCGCAACAGCACAAGAAACTGGGTGATTAGCATAGTAAAGATCCAGAACACTCTCGCAGTGGGGATGTCGCCATAAATGTCCTTATTTCGGAGCTGCTGACTGAAGTTAACCCACGGGATAAGCTTTTTTGGACAAATCAGAATCATGGAGTTGTGATGAAGAGGAGGACTCCATCGATACAAGGACGATATGACGGGAGTATGGACTGAGACCCTCAGCTTTTTGAGAGTTTTTATCTTTACATTCCTCGCTCTTTCAAGCTCGAGATCTCTGAGCTTCTCTTCTTTCCTTTCTGTCGCAGGATTGGACTTAGGAGGCCAACGAGATCTCTTAAGGATTGGAATGGCCGTCTGATAGCGTGAGGGGTCAAAGACAGTTTACCCGAATAACAGCTGCAAACTTATCACAGAGTAGGATGACAAAGGCGAATCAGGTCGCCAAGAGGTGCAAGCTGCGAACGAGCCTGGATTCTGAAACAATGATCAGATTTAATTGCAACAATCTCTACTAACCCTCAGGGTTTACTTTGACTTGGTTTCTTAGGCACAGAACTTGAATCCAAGCGTACGGGTGCGCATGATTCTTACGAAGCGGCTAGCTTGTACGTAGAAACACCGTAGAAACTCACGCACTAACCCGCCCGAGCTTCAGAATCACCACACACAGTCAAATATTGTTACTGTGATTATGTTGTTAATCATGTGCAGGAATTCGGCTATTGGAATTCTGTTCTGCATGTTTAAATGTCATTGGCAACACAAGCTACTCAGCTATCTTCAAATTGATGTTTGCTACTTTCTTGTTGAGGGGGATCGGACTCAGCTCAGTTCGCACCATGCGCCAACAATACTGGTGGACGGAGTCCAGTACGATGACGATTTACGCATGTATGCCGGCGCGTTTGATTACGTTTGTGGATCTCTCGAGTTAAATAAAAAGATGACTGCCCGCAAACATGCGTCAGGAGCGCGTTCTGGGCCAGATCGGATCATGATGAATTGCACGCAGCTAGAGATTTAGTGTGTGTGCTCACTCGGAGCTCGATCCGCTCGCATTGTGCATGCAACCTTGGAACTTAGGATGCGCGAGAAGATCCACGCTCCATGCAGTCCGAAAGCTTCCAGAATCAAAGCAAATATGATGCGCTTACAAGGCCTTCATGTCTGGTTGATACAGTCAGAGATCCAAGCAAGCGGAGTTCCTGCATTCGATCCAATCCAACGAACGCGCTTACACCATTACTTAATTTCGAGGACGGTTCTTGCAAGGTTCAAGGTAAGAACGTCACCAAAAGTGTAGACCTTCGCTCATTAAAAAGATACTGACAGTCGGCCCTCGATGTTCACACCTAGCCTTCTGAAGCTCGGGCTGGCTACGCGAACGAGCCCGGCCTCGGATCGTCCTTCAAGGAAAAAACTGCCTCAATTGTTTCCTCAGTACAGGGTCTCGCTGGCTCACAATCGAACAACTATTCTCGTTCTATCGTTTTCTCGGGCAAACTTGCCTCCTAACAGAGAATTCTCTTCCCTCAAGCTAGAGTATAAGTATCGTGGCGAGTCCGCTCTTACAGTGCTGCGTGGTCTCAACCATCTTTTGGCCCCTCGTCGGTTGAACCGCAGTCCTATTTCTGCACGCCAGTTCCAAATGTAGCATCCGCGAGCACACTTTACAATTTTCGTGAAGCATCTGCCTCCTAAGGCGAGCCACTGTACATCTACCTCACCGTCTTTGTTACCGTCGCTGAACCTGCTCTGTTTCGAAAAGCTGTTACTTGCGCTCTCTCTTGTGCATTTCTACGAGGCTACTCGCACCAGACCTACATCTTACTGCCGTACATGCTCTCAACATCCTTATCTCGGCGTCCAGCCTTTCGACGTTCCACTGATCCTGACACGTGTCAGCCCCCCGCAAGCGCCACGTGTCAGCAGCCCACAAGCGCACTCGGGCGGTGCTCCAGGACCCAGAGCGGCACCCCCTGCTTTTGGACGGCTCTCGCGAATGCCGCGTTCGAGGTGAGCGTCGGACAGGACCAGGCGTCCGCCGTGCCGAAGATCGCCACGTGGCGCGCTTTGATTGCCCGGCTGGGGGACAGGCTGCGGAGGCGGTCCGAGGGACTGTCCGCGATGAGCCTGAGAGTTTAAACAACGCGGGCTCAAAAATTCGTTGCGAACGCAATTTTTTGTGCCGACAAAAGGCAATGTGTGCTCTGTTCGACTAGCTTCACCTTCAGAACCGTAATGCCTCCGTACCCATGCTGCACGCGTTTCTGCATAGAAATGCACGTTGACGAGCAAGTTTTGAGAGTATGGAGCCCCAGAGGAACAGCATTCTGAGATTAGTCGACTCGATGCACCAGGGAACTGCCACTTTGACCCTGGGCCAACGATAACCATCAAACCGTTTCTCACTCTTCAGTAGAATCGACGCCTCGAAAGCGGAGAACGAGGAAGCGAGGCCAGTCAAGTCCAGCCATGAAGCAGCAGGTTTCGCGAGGTGTTCAACCCGTTGAGCACTTTGGCTTAAAAGACGCCTTGACTGGAGTTACGATCGAAAAAAGCAACGGCCAAGGTCAGCCATCAACGGAGCAAGGTTAAAGAGCAGCGACTGTCAGCTTCTCACCAGCACCGCTTGAGGACGCGCTCCGCGCGCGCCTGCTCCTCCTCGCCCCCGACGACGCTCACAATAGAAACGAACTCCCGCAAGACGTACTGGGTGACCAGGAGGGCCTTGTCCGCGGAGACCGATTCTAAGTAGGGCAGCTGCGGGTACTGCAGCTCCGCTTCGACCTGAGAAGAAATAGGGGAAACTTACGTCAGCGATTTTCTGGTCACATTAGAACCATTTCTAAGTAGGGCAGCTGTGGGTACTGCAGCTCCGCCTCAACCTAAGAAGAAAAAGGGGACAATTACGTCAGCGGCTCACTGACGTTACGTCGTCAATCAGCTCGCAGCGGAGGGGACCGTTTCTACGTAAGGAAGCTGCGGGTACTGCAGCTCCGCCTCAACTTGAGGGGAGGGAAGGGAAAGCAATGTCAGCGGCGCGAAGACGTCACGTGACGTCGTCAGTCTGCTCGCACCGGAAGAAGACCGATTTGTAAGTAGGGGCAGCTGCGACTACTACAACTCTAGATCTCCGCCTCGACCTGAGAAGAGGGAAGGCAAAGTTACGTCAGCGACTCGAAGATGTAACGTGACGTCATCAATCAGCACGCACCGGAAGGGGACCGATTCTAAGTGGGGCAGCTGTGGGTATCTTACAACTCCGCCTCGATGTGAGGAGGGCGAGGTTGAAGCTACGTGAGAGGAGCGTGACGTCATCAGTCTGCTGGCTAGCGGAATGGGGTCAGACTCGTGATAGAGGGAGGGTGGAGCTACATCAGGCGTGCGTGACGTCAGCGGCGTGAAGAAGTTGCGGTGTGAGAAACGATCTGCTGGCCAGCGGACTGAAACACATGATCAAAAGCAGGGGAAGTTAGACAGATTCGACGGTGGTTGAGGAGCTCCGTGTTAGATATTGTGACCAAGCTAAGGCGACCAAGGACTTTCAGCGCATGGTGGCCGTCGAAAAGATAGGGGAAGTGACAGACAAGGGCCTGAGTGATGTGATGTTGCTCATAATAAAATCTGACATTCGTCCCAGAAGCACCGCGCACGAAGCGCCTTCGCGATGTGAACCTTTGTAGATGACCGACAGGTCAGCGAGACCAAATCGAGAACCCTCGGTCAAGGGGCGCTACTGATGAGTATTGGCGGAACCAGCTGATAGAGAACTGTGGCTATCAAAAGGGCTTGAGAGCAAGACACACCAAAAGACGGTTCGCTTTGTGTCCCGAGATTGCATGATAAGGGCAAGGCTGTTCTTTGGAATCTAAAAAATGTAATGTAATGGATCGAAAAGACACCCAGTCACCTGGTCGCGCATAAAATCTGCGTTTCCCTTCCACCGCTCCCTGAACACTTGCTCCGGCATCGTGCGGAGCCCCTCCGCTGCGCCGTTGGTTATCCCCGAGACGAGCGCAACCAGGGCCGTCGTGTCTAAGTTAACCAGCTTCAACCCCGCCGGCCATGAGGCTGGCCGAGCACTCAGCGGAACCCGGTTAAGCGTCCGGAACCGACCTTCGGCTAACCCGGAACCGTCTTCCCCGTGCTCTTCCGATTGCGTTCTTCGGACGTCCGGGGTCGTGCCACATGTCGCGGATTTTGTACACCTGACGGCAGAGAGCTGGGCCAACTGTGGCGCCGCTGTCATTCTACTTGGTCCGCCTGGCTCCGTTCCGTTTCCCCAAATTCCGTTCCTCTCTGGTTTCTTCTGTTTCGAACTCTCTTTCTGCTCTTCCTTTGATTCTGTTCTCTTCTCAGCTTTCACGCTGCTCGCCTTCTGCACTCCTGAAAACGGATCGCCCTTCGTTCCGTTGGTATCGTCGTGCCCTTTCCGGTCTGTCCGTTCCGGGACTATGTTCTGCTCCGACTCGGTGATTGACCGTGCAACTCCGACCCACTCCCCAGGGACTGCTTCCAAAGTCTTGATCGTTAGCCCGGGTTGCTGAACCCCGATCCAATGGCCCCCTTTTTCATCTCCCCTGGTGACGTCACTCCTAGGCAATGCCTTCCCTTGAGGCCCAGCGGCTGAAAGGGCGACCCACTCCTTGTCTTCACCCCTTGAACCGCTTCCAAGATTTGAAGGCCCGTTCGCAAGGGATGACTGAAAAGCAGAAACGTCGTCCCCCAAGCGGAGCGCCACCCAGCCTTTTTCCAACGGGGCCGGACTCTTTGCCCCCGGGCCTAGTTCGCCCGCCGTCTCTCCGGGTCCCAGGCTATCCCCACTCTCGAAGCTGCCTTCCGGGCCGTCAATCGCAACAAACGAGCCCTCAAGCGTAGGCGCCGTTTGCAACGCCTCCAGCTGTCCGCGTTTGGTGGAATTCTCGGCTGCTGCACAATGCCCATCGTTCGCACATCCCTCTCCATTCTCCAGCTGTCGGACCGCGTTCATAACCTGGCCCCTAACCCTGCTCCCGGTTGCAGTTAACCCTCCCCTCACCACCACACTTCCTCTGTTCGCTTCCTCCCTTCCAGAGGCACTCGCCAAGGAGTCCTTTTCACAGGGGCTCTGATCAGTAGGAACGCAAGGGTCTTCCAGGACTATCCACTCTTTGCTGACGCCATCAGCCCCCTTGCTGGCGTCATCTGAGGGGGATGTGGGACGGACGGGAGGGGTAGGGCTGGGAAAGCTTTCGACCAGGGACCACGCCAGTGCTTCTGAATCTGGGGCCATATCCGCAGAGAGCCTCCTACCTATTGCGTCCAATACCTGGCTGCCTAAATGCGTTGGTCGTTCTTGACTCGGGTCGGGGTTTAGAGAGATCTCAAAACCCAGTGACTTAATCAGCGCACAAGGAACGGCTCCAAAAGTTTCCAGAAGGTGTGATTGAAGGGACGCCTGCAGGCCGCGAGCGAAATAGAGGACAATCTTGCTTGGCCTGTGGAGTTGGCTTGACCCCCTGGCCGCATCTAACAGTCCGGCAATGCGGTCCTTCAAGCATGTGTCGTGGGTTGGCCTTGGCCTGCGCGTCTGGCTGAGAGTACTGGCGCTCAAAGCCTCCGAAGGAAGTTCAGCTGGCTTCGATGGCTCTTTCAGAGAATTGAACGAGGCTCCTGGGCTAGTCAAGGGAGCACCGGAGGTGGTTGTTGAGGGGCCGTGAAAAGACTTTGTCGAAGAAGATGGCTTCTCTTCGTCTCCAAGGTTGTTCCAGCTTACAAAGTCAGGGTTGCGAGCAGATACGACAATCCAGGCTGGCTCGCCTCTGAACAAGCAGACAAGGTCTACCGCTGCGGTGCAAAGCTCTGTGCCGTTTCTTAGGCTGGAAGCAGCACCACTGAGGAGTTGTCTCTGGAAGCTGATGGTCTGAAGGATGTTAACCACACAGCTGATTTCGGGGTGCTTGAGCAGGGACGCGATAGCCTCAAGATGGTTGAGATTGGAACTGCATGAAGAGTGGACACAGGCTTGTGAGCACAAAATTCGGAACAACTTGAGTTGAAAGTTTTTGAGATAATTAAGATTGAGAATTGCGATTGCACCAAACGCATTGTCAGAGTGTGCTCAAAGAGCATTATATGAGAAAATCCGGTTGGATTGTCTTGCTGCACATACATCGTTGGTCAGGAAGTGCACGTTTAAAGAAAGGGCAGTTCGACATTAGGCTCATGTTCAAAACCAACAACTTCTAGTCCTGATTGTCATATATTTGTGCACCCATTCAAAACAAGAAAGATAGTCTCAGCATTAGTTAAGCACAGAGAGTACTGTATTATATTGGCTTTAAACCAAGTGAGCACCAGGCTGACTGCATGAGAATCTCTGAGTTGCTGTGCATGCAGTACACATAGACTGCTTATTATGCTTGCAAAGATTCAAGAACACATTATGTGATTGAAGGGCGGAGCAGGAGTTTGTCCTGTGCCAGTACTGACCTCCGCCAAGACCCTCGGCGGTTTAGAACGGCAGAAACGAACAAAAAGACAACTAAAAGCCAACCATCTTTCAACCCTGCTACACCACTATGATAAAAGGGGCGAGGGCAATTTAAATTGAAAAGAGTCAATGAACTTCTAACCAAAGCAATGTAATTCTAATCACATCAATGAATCCTAACAAAAGCAGTAGGGTAGTGAACAAACACATTAACGAACCACAGGCATTGGTAATCTGCAGACATCGTATCAAACAGTCCATCGCAAAGATGCATGTTTCTTGGCAATCCTGTGTTGTGAGTGACGTTAATTGTTGGATAAGGTGTTGGCATTGCAATCTACATGGTCAGTCTCAGGTGGTGGCCACTAAAACCAACCGGCACCACAAAACTCAAGCAACAGCTGGAATGCAGGCGCCTTCTACCTTACGGGAAAAAGGCCAAAAAGGTGATGGAAGAAACACAACAATTTGGAAATAACTTCCTCTAGACAATTGTGCATTGTGAGACTACCATGACTTTCTCACCTCACAGAAGCTAGTTCCGCTCCTGCGCCGCTGGTGGCCCTGCTCAAATAGCTCAGCTCACTTTGCACGTGCTTTTGCAGCCTCCTTTTGCTGTCCTGGTTGATCATTTGTGCGGAGCAGGTCTCAAGAAAGGACAGAATGTCAGCCATGCGCGCAGGAATGTCCCCCCACCTCGTTGCAAATTGTACAATGTTAGGGTTGACCCAGGACTGATCTTAGTTACAACCCTAGTCAGCAAGCCAGAAGATATTAACACCTGCGCTGCTAGGAACCCTAACAGGCGCGCTGGACAGAGAAATGCGGTCATCCCAAACTGGTGTGAAAATATCCAAGTTCCAAGCTGAGCTAGATACAGCTAGCTGCAGTGTAGGCTTAGGTGTGACTTTATGACTCAGCGTCTGCCAGTGCACTGCTTTCAAAACCAAGACAATTGAGCTCTGCGCAGCTCAAAAGGGCGCACCTTTGCCATTGTTTACGGGCTCCTCAGATCTTAAATCTGACCGCACCCAATAGACTGAATCCTTTTTGGTCCAAGCAACCACAATATGGCGTCCACCAACCGCATCGCCCCCACCTTTGTCCTCGGCTCCAAGCTCGATCCTGCAGAGCGTCAAACAGATGCGCGCCCCCCTCCTGTCCCACCACCAACTCTTATGCAGAGTCTACCGTACGGTTTGGCTCCTATAACGTCAAAGCTAAAACGACTGGGGACCAGGACTGCCCTTTCGATCTCACAGAGCTGGAGGAAAGGGCCCCCTGCAAACATTATAAGACCTGGAGCTGCAGAAGATGAACCTTTGGGCGTCACAAGTAAGAAAAACAGCGGCCAATGTTGCTTCTGAACGGACATGTTGTCTTCAGAGCAGCAAAGCTCATGATGAAAGTTTCTGGCACGGGGCAAATCCATTAAGGAGTGCAGCAAGGTTCCATTCCAAGGTTGCCAAGGTCCAGAATCCTCCTAAGTGGACGGGACTGGAGCTGATTGCCTGGCTGTGCTATCATGCACAAGATTGTCATGCTGGTCTCTCACATTATCTGGCTTCAGTCAAGCTTCTGCAGTAATCACTTTGCTCACCCTGTGCGATTTTCAGCTGCAAGTTTCGCGTCTCCCAGGCAGGTTGTAAGCGCGAGCCCAGTCAGGCATGTGGCGAGGGCTATGTGTCATACCTGCATTTTCTTGAGGCCCTTCTTCATACACCTTTCAGGCCTTCATCAAAGCCATCGTGACATCGTTCCGATTACTTCATTGGGGAACTTCTTGCAGATACCGCAATCGCGTCCAGCATCTTTTTCCAGATGCTTCTCTACTTCAACGTACAGTATTCGATTGTCTGGTTCCCAGCAATGCTAACATCACGGTTTCTGAAGGTAAGGAAGGCCAGTTCAACCACAAAAATTCTCCATTTGGGCACAAGCATGGCCGTTACTCGTGTTGTATGCTGTGCTTAATTGCTCAAGTTGACCCAGACCCGTATGGGATCCTTAGCAACGGGAAAGAAAGCTTTGGGATAACGCCCATCTCATTCCGGAGTTGCAATCAGTTCCGTAGTACCCGTCAAGCTCTATTTTTCCCAAGTCGGTCCAGGTTTGGGGCCTGATCAAGCTTGTAGAGCAGACTCCTCACTGCGACGTCCAGACATTTGTTGCTCTGGCTGCATCAAAGCATTCAGAACTTCAAGCTCAACCTGTGTGTCGCCCTTCGACTTTCCGTGCTCAAACAGCTGTGTCTATTCCTGATGCAGCCAAAGTTTGGGGTGGTTGAGGCAGCGCTGCTCGTTCTCTTCCTAGTTTCCGAGCCTGTCCGGTTGGCCCTAGGCTATAGTGGAAATTTGCAGGAGAAGGTGCCCTTCGTTGCAGCCTTCATGCTACTCACCCTCTTTCCGGGCCTGCCTGTCTGTCTCTACTTCATGTTCGTCCAAAAGGTGAGAAGACTTCTTCCCTCTAATGAGTGGGTACTTTGGTTGGGTCTTCAGATTCGAGCTTGCTGGGGTGAGCGCTCGATCCTCACAAAAGTAAGGATTAATTCTGCCAAGATCATGTTGCGTGCTTGTCAGTTGGAAGAGCTGTTCGTGTTCACTTGGCTCGTTAAGTATCAAATGGGGCTGCTCCGGGGCTTGTAAGTCATTTATCAAATTAAAAAAAAAAAAAAAATGCACCCAGCAAAGAAGTAAGCGGTTAGAGAAACGAGCAGCAGTACGAGCAAAACGTGGGTCTTCGAAGTTGAAGTGTGAGAGGAAAGAGGGATCTCATTCGGTCTCCTGAGGATTCCCTGGCGGTACTCTCCCCCAGTGACTCAGTCAAGTTAATGTGGTTTCAGATACGCTTTGACTACCAATCTTCCTGCTCAACCGACGGCATGCCAGAGCTTTGATACGATTGCGCCTCACAGTCCTGTACGCTGACTTTTAGCATCACCTGTCCGTGCAGCACTTGGAACCTTCCGATAAGGCAGTCGGCACTTTGATGGCCATTTTTTTGGTCCTGGAGCTGTTCACTGCAGTTCATGCTGTAAGTCCCGTCCTGAACGACCATGTCTTTCCTACGTCTCCGCTCTTGACAGCTTAGTTTCATCAACCCACATCTGGCTTCTGTGATGCATAGCAATGTTATTTTCGTAGGGAATCTGGCGGCTTTCCTGGTACTAAATTTTTGGGTTGCGTCGACCTTGTGAAAGCTGGCTTTCTTCAATGCTGACGGAACGAAGGATCGGAAATTACCTGAAAGATGGCAACATCGTCACTTGATGTGCGTAGCTTACGCTTGCTCATCCTTACAGAAAGTACCAGAGCATTGGCGAGTTCCAACGTTCTGTCGTCTTGTTTTTGCATGGGTCCAAGGCTACTTAGGCGCTGGATGAATTCGATCCCTCTGGAGCTCACAGGAGTCAACTTTTCCGTGCTCCTTTTGCAGATCCGTCAGCTTATACGAAGTCAGACGCTGAAATTCTATCTGGAGGATTACGAAGATGTGCGAGAGCAACTGAGAAAAGGACTGACCTTGGACACATAGCGTCTCCGGATTGTCCAGCCGTTTTCAGGGTTACCGTCACTTCAAATTTTACTGTACATAACAAAAGGCTGTACAGTGCCATTGAAGCAAGGTTGTGCCACCAAGGGTCAAAGCGTCCCGCGTCTGAGTGTCACAGAGACCATGACCGTATGATTGAAGTCAACCTGTATTTCGGCATGGAGTCTGACACGGACATTTGAGCTAGCTATCGAGAGCTCAGATTTCAGGAATGTATATTCAGGTACGGCACTCAAGATACACGTACATGCATGCACCAAAAGCCGTTATGGGTCATTGGCAACGCATGGGGCCCGTATACGTATATGGTTGCGTGCACAGCTAGCCATCTGAGCCACGGATGCATGAAGATGGCAACCATTCAATTTTCAGGCTTGGCAGCATTTATGCATGCGTGCACACAAACCCAAAATGCGCGGTTGACGAAAGAAAGAGCGCAATAAACCTGTTCCTCACCATCCTCTTGAGGGAAGACGGTAGTAATCGGATTATTTTTCAAAACGGTTCATTTCAAGGTTGAACTGCAGGGTTCCGTCGGATGCTAGACAACTTACACTTTCGCTACTACCGCTTGATTGGGTTCAATATCAAACCCTGCTGTTTTTGAACCCGGCGAGGATCATGTACGTTCACTGAGATATCACACACGACTTCATTTCTGGTTTTCGGCTTCTCCGATATGCTTATCACTTTTGTTGCGGCACCGAAGTGAAAGTACAATCGGGCTTTTTCAGGCAATGCTTTTTGTGATGTCGCCAGTGGAGGGCCTTCAATATGTCTTGCTGCATCCAGAAGCGAGCAGGACGGTTGATCGGTATAGCCCAATTCAAATGGGATGCAAGCTTGAAAACGTAAGATTCTGCGCTTCGCGTGAGCTGGTCTGAACGGCGCCAACTTACATTGTGCAGAAAATTGGATGAGATATTTTGTAGGACACGAATTGGGCCGCCTATTCTGGCTCGTGATGGATCCATCTTCTCCATTTCCGGCCTTGGATGTAATTACACATCGGCTTTAACGGGCAGACCTTTCAGATGGTTTGCTTGATAATGAGGTCGTGCTGTCGAGCACTGAAAGACAACTGGAAGCAAAGAACACTGCGACACGCTTAGTTGCAACGGGCCATATCAGTCCACCGTAGTAGAAAGCGTCTTTACGAGATCAAGTCAGCACATGCCAATCTGATCTTTTCAACCAGTGCCGACACCGGCTTGGATTTTGTTGAAATGTGAAAAAGTAGACTTCATCAGTCGACGAGACCTTCCTGAACCGAACTCAACGAGAATGGAGCTGCCTGTCAGGATACATACGTACCTGCAATAGGGCGCGACTTTGCAACGCGCACTCTTGCTGAACGGTGTGCTGTTTTCCGTGTCTGGCCACGCTCCAAAGTTCTCACACCGTAGACCGCAGGAACCCCAAGAAAGCCGGACGTACGGTTTGCCACAGTGTCTCCAACTGAGAATCAGTCAGTCAAGGTCGCCCGATCACGAGCTTCCCCTCGGTAATTCGAGCCGATATCCAACGCCAGCTGCCTGGCGTTTTTGCTTCGAGAAAGCTTAATATTGGCTCGAAATTAAAATGGAGGTTAGCCCCGCTCGCTTCATCTTTCTGACGCGCTCGACCGCCCAACCACAAGAAAGAAGTTGTGACGGAACCCTCCGCCAAGCTCAAGAAACGGAGTCGGTCTCGTCCCAACTTGCCGTGTGTCGTGTCCGGCAGATTTCGGCCAAGACGCTGAGAAAGGCCTAGTCGCGTCTATCATCCGGCTTCTGCTGTCGGTCCAAACTGACATGTATCGGGAACATAGTGGCCAGCTTGGATCTTAATCGAAATCGAACACGACGAACACGAAGCTCGTCACGAATATTTCTGACGGAATCCTAAGATAGGAGCTCCTGAAGCTTTTGCACCCAATCGTCTGCTTTCCAAGTTGGCGGAAGGTCGCTGAAGCACGTGCAGAGTTGAAGAGCCCTTCTGCGGCCGATATGGAGCCAAACATCTCGGAAGCAAGCTCCGAGGTGCCAGACAAAAGGGACAGGTAATCCACGTTGTCCACGAGAGATGGCTGCAGCCGCTCCCGGCCCCAACCCCTTCCCAACTCAGGACAAGCATGCTTCCAGCTAGTGGGAGCTAAAATGAGGCTTGAGTCAGAAATGCGAAGGAGGGCTTCATCACGTCACGAATTGCACTGCCGCAAGTGCTAATTTCAGATCAGCTGCCCGAAGCTTGAATCAACAAGCAGTCATTTTGATAGTTGATCTCATCGCTCGGGTCTTTGTGAAGCGCCAGCTCACTTATTACCTACTCAGCTCTTGATCAGCTCTTTCGTGCTGCCAGACAGCTCCAATTGAGTGTACCCACACTTCAAACCTACTCTCCCAGAACGCTTCAGAAGCCGTAGTCAGGAATGGATGTCAAAGGGCTCTGACATAGCTGCCTGCTTCAATGATACGACACGATCATTTATAAAGTCTCCTATTCCAAGTTCCTGATCCAGCTGGAACCGTATTCATTGACTGCGGCCAGCGTGCATTCTTGTACCTGAGAATCCCGATATCAGTATTGTATATGTGGTCTTGATGATCTGCCCGCGCATATGCGTTGTTGAGAGCCGATGCAAGGCGGCACGCTGCCCGGCCAGGCCCGGCTGCCTGTCATTGAGCGGCCAACTGAAATCCTCGACTAAAATTAGACTGTTCTGGCACCGGATTCTGCAGAAGGCAGAAGCTGGTCGGTCAGAGAATCCACGTGAGTGTGCGAAGCCGGAATCTAGGTCTCGTATCCCCGCAGTAGGTAGCTTGTATCTGGAGCTAAGTGTTTAGGAAAATTGCTTTCAATAGGGCGAGCCTTGAGTGTCCTGTCAGTCTAGCCCTGTCAGGCTGTCATTGCAGTGACTGCACACTGTAGCCTTACAGCCGCTCGTTGCGACCTAAGTAGGTAGGACGGTCACTACCCGTGTATGCACTTATACACACTGCTGTCACGAATCACGTCCATCAGAACTTAGCAACCGCCGGAATCTTGATCTGCTGAATCTGACCGTCAGTGCGGTAACACGTGGTCAATCGGACGCTTTAAAATCGTACCGTGTCGTACGCCATCGCTCCAGCTCGGCCGGCCGAATCCGATCGTCCACGCACGTCGAAAAGTCCGCCGACACGAGCAATCCACCGGGGCCTTTTACCGTCCTGTCTTTGATTCTTAACCGGGGTCGGAGCTTGGCTGCATCGAAGGGAGAGTTGCGCCTGAGCCCCGGGGCCAACCCGTCGGGGGATTCGGACCAGTGCCCGGGAGTAGTGTCCCAGGTTCTTCCAAAATCCGAATGAACCAGCCGACTTTTGCTGATGTCCGACTCGGTCCGACCCTCGTGTCAGACGTGTCAGATGACAGTGGCAACTTCTCGCAAGTGTACGCGTACTCAATGCTCAGGCTCCGCCAATCATAGTCCTGACTCCTGACTCACAGAAACCGTGATCTGCAGTCACATATAGTACCTACATTGTACACGGTACAGAGTACACTAACTACACGGTACCTCTGTGAAGGTAGGTAGTCAACTGTTGACATCAATGGTTTGTACACTGGCAGGTGGTGACGTCGTTGCACGATTTACGTCAGTCACAAACTGAAACATCATCTGGCCTTGCCGTCATGCAAGCAACAGTGTCAGAGCCTCAGAGGTTCCAAATCCATCCGAAGATTTTTGCCTGCACGCTAGCCCAGACGATCTACCTATTTATGAAGCCTGAATTGACATGATGAATTGACTCTTGAAGACAGGTACAGTAGAACGCACTCGGATTGAGGCGTTGCTTTCAATTGTCCTCTCCTTCGTTGCCATTCATGAGGCAGGGCGCTTCGTAGCTTGCAGGTGCGTCAGCCGCGCATGGACAGTGCACCAAGGACAGCGTGGCAGATGGGCCTAGAGTGCGGCTGATCAACCCAGATTCTAGGGGTGGCTCTAGACTTTATACGAGGATCTGAAAACTATCATGGCTTGCAAGTTTGTCTTCCCGGCTGGCAAGGCTGGTTCTAAGCTTCTGCCGCAAAGGAGCAGCTTCCCAGCCTCAAATGGTGAGGCGACAATGAGAGGCGAATTAGGTGTGCTGAAAGCATTCCTTAGGGGCATAAGCGGCGTTGCTTGCAGCCAGATGTATGGCGGGTGTCCATGATGCCATTGTGTTGTTTGGGACCCTGCAATTGTAGCCCTTCCTTGTAGTCTCCTCAGGGGGAAATAGAAGATAGGTGGAAGGCAGGCTTGTAGGGGCGTCTGCCTGAGAGCAACCCCATGACATGGAGCTTCATTCTGTCACAACTGGAGGCTGTGGCAGTAGAACTACGTTCTCTGGCTTGATTCCATTCAACTACAATGCTCAAAGCACGTTGGCCTAAGCGCAGGGCGGTCTGAGGATCAACAATTGAAAGAGTAGCATTGGTTTCGTAAGTTAGACTTCGACCGGTTGACTTCCAACTAGAAGGGTGGCATTGTATAGCTGGCTGGACGCATTTGGTCAGCACTTTAGCTGGGAAGGACCGCCACTCAGAACGACAGCATATGGAGAGTCTTGGAGCCTAGCTCGAGAGTTTCCCCATAGGACGAACGGGCCTGGACGTATAGAATGAGCTTCAGAATGGATGATCCGGGAAATGCAGAAGAGCAGGCCTCTGGAGCAGCTGAACAGAGAGGAAGGAGCGACTCTTTGGAGGCGCAGCTAAAGGCCCGCAGTTACACTGTCCTCCTCTCGCGGCTGGCAACAATGGTGAGTAAGAGAGGACATGCTTACCCCACATCTGAAGTCGTGTGATGCTGACTCGGACAGACAGCTGTAGTAATCTAGGCTCTCTATGTCACTTGTTTCTGGGAGTGCCAGATCTTAGTGCAGAGAAATGACAAACACGATTCTCGTGATAAATCGACCCTATGGTGAGCTTGGTTCCAGCGCCTCACAGAGAAGGCTATTGACATGCCCTGTGAGGCCCTGTTTTTGCCCTCTGAACCAAAACGCCCGGTCAACTTCGCATTGTTTCGTAAGCGCTGTGCACCTTTTCTCAGCAGTCTACTCTCATTTGAGACAAGTTTGTCGGGTGAAAAGCTACAAGGACCTTGGTTCCTGGTCTCTGAAATAACCGTCTACCACTCATTGTAACCCTGTCATTCTCAATTGTGTATCAGTTGCTCGTTGTTCACACCTTGTGTCTGTAAGTTAGGGCAGATCTGCATATCGCATTGCGATTTCCAACTGGGCATCAGGACTCTAGTGGAGCACTTCTTTGCGGCAGATTGTCACTTCCAATGTCACGTACACTGACTCAAAGTGGACAATGCTGAATCCTTCATAGCTTTGAGCTGGAAGGGAGTGGAACTTCCACCCGCCCAACAACTCAGCATCTCCTGACTCGTCACTCCCATCGATGCAATAAACGATGAGCTCAGCCTATATCAAGAAGACATTGCAGGTACCGGTTGGGTTTTAAAAAGGGGTTAGGGTGGGTGCAGGTGCCAGGCACTTCGACCTTTGGTTTAGGTCTCCACTTAGGCCGAGGGCTTACCGTTCACAGCGCTTATTGTTCTTTGAATTGAGAAAGTATTGGACCCCCTTCGGCTTTTCTACACATGGTGGCCCAATCTTCACAAAGCAGGTGACCTACACACGGATCATTGTTAGAAGTCGTTCTCCAGCGTCCTGGTCCTCTTTGTCCTGTCATCATCAGACTTAGCCCTCTTCTCTCTTCTCCCTCCTAACACCTATCTATTTCCGATCTCAACTGGCTTACCAAAAGGATTTATTCAACCATCTTCAGGTATCTTATGCTGTCTTTCTTGTCCTCTTTCAGCCGAAAGAACCCATCTCAGCGATGATGGAGGGCAATGTTTCTTTTCTCCTGACAGAGCGGCAGCTCTTTTGTTGGTGCAGCATGCCAAGCTTTCTTTCTCACTGAGAACACGGGGTGAAAAACTCCCGTCACATCAACAATCCCTTTATAGCATGCCACCTTCCGCAGGTACTGCTGACCCTGTTCAATGGGCCGCGACTTTGCTCACCCTCCTCTCCATAAAATTTGACTCGGCGCCGCCAAATCTCAACAAAATCGCATCATTCTTCTATATTACCAAACCTTTTCTGGGCTTGAAGGTCTCTCCATAACCAGTTGATGCTGACCCCGTTCGTTGGGGCGGAAACGCTGCTCACATTCTTTTTCGACATGACCCACTTGAGCTGCCAAAGCTTATCAAGTCAAGCAATGTTTCGGTGCTTTCACTCGGGGAGGGAGTGATTGCTCGCGTACAGATAGGTTTGGAGAGAGTCCATGCCTCAGGTGGTTCTGATTCTAAATTCGAACCTTTTTCCGTGCCCAGTTGATGCTGACCCTGTTTGTCGGCGCCGCGACCCTGCTCACCTTCTTCTTCACCAAGGCGGCCTCGGTCGAGACGATCGACATTCTGGGGGGATCCCTCCGGCGCGACCTCCTCGGACGCACTGCGGACCAGCTGCGGACGCTGCTCAACGAACAGGCGCGCTGCTCCCGCCAGCTCAGCGACGCTGTCTGGCGCGCGTGGGACTTCAACGAAACGCTCACGGGGCCGGCACCTCCGTCGGTGAGTGGTCGTTCCGTCCCTTTTCCGTTCGGTTCCACTGTTCCGTCCATTCTTCGTTCTTCGTTCTCAAGTGCACGTTCCGTTCCGTCCGTTTCAGCGACACCTTCTGGCACACGTGGTATTACGACGAAACGCTTGCGGGGCGCGCGCTTTGTTTCTTTTCCGTTCGGTTCCGATGTTCCGTCCATTCTTCGTTCTTCGTTCTCTTGAAACTTCAGCGAAACGCTGGTGGGGCCCGCACCTCAATCGGTCAGTGCATTCCGTTCCGTCCATTCAGCGACAGCGTCTGGCACACGTGAGATTACAACGGAACGCTCACGGGGCCGGCGCCTCCGCCGGTGAGTGCGAGCTCCATTCCTTTTCCGTCCGCTTCTTCTCTTCCGTCCCTTTCCGCAGCTGGAATTTCATCAAACACTGGCGGGGCCGGCACCTCCGTCGGTAAGCGTTCAATTTGTTCTTTTTTCTTCCCTTTTGTCCGTCAGCAATGCCGTCCGATGCGCGTGGGACTTGAACGAACCGCTCACGGGTCCGGCACTGTTGTCGGTGAGTGCGCGTTCCGTTCTTTCCCGTTCGGTTCCGCTATACCTTTCATTTTTCGTTCTCGGGACTTCTCCAAAAACGCTGGTTAATGTACGATGAAAGCAACGACAGTCTGTGACAAGAAAGCTAGCAGCCAAGACAACATTCGTGTTTCTGTGTTGACAAGACAACAGCTTTCCCCTTCTACACTCTCCTACCTTAATTCGGACAGTCTCTCATCTTATCCAGATAACTTTGCTCTCGACACTCAAAATGAACGGCTGGATCAAGATCCTTCGGAATATCTAAAGGAAGTCTTCCCTTCTTGTTATTCTCAGGTAACGGACGAGACGATCGACTACTTCCTCCACTACGCTGACGTCATCTCCGCGGCCGGCTTCTGCACCCCCGACGGCGTCACCTCCAACGCGTACAACCGGCTCGCGATCCCCGGGCTCCCCCCCCCTTCTGACGCCATCCTCACTCTCCTCTACTCGAACCAAACCGTCCCCGCTGACGTCTCCCCCCCGGTGTACGGCCGCGCCGTCGACCGGACAACGCGGGCGACGGTCCGGGTGCCCCTCCGGTTGAACTTCATGAAGGTCGACTGCCGGAAATCCGCGTATTATGTCCTCGGAACGAAGTCGCCGACCGGGAAAGTGATCGGGATTCTGCCGGGCGTTGGAGACCCCGCGCCGAACGTGATGCAGATGAACCAGATCGGGTTCTCGCCGGGGGGATCCCCCCAGGTTTCCCGGGGCATCGCCGGGTGCGTCGTCTCCCTGAAAAAGGTCGGGGAGTACCTGGCGGAGTTAGAACTAGAGGGCGGGATCATTTTCGTCACCAACGGGACGGTTCTTCTCGCGTCCTCGGTTGGTTACACCGGGCAGAACTTGAGCAGCACCGGTAACGAGCTGCTGTTGCCCGCCCAGTCTAGTCACCCGGTGATCCGGGCAACCGACAAGTTTCTGCGCGCGCAAGAGGGGGTCGGCGTCGACATGGACGCTGACGTCACGCTCCTGGGCGTGCGGTCCTTCGTGACGAAGCGTGACGTCAGCTTCGAGGGGTTCAACATGACGGTGGTCTTGGTGCTGCCCCGGAAGGCGATCATGAGCCGAATCGACGCGAAGGCGCGGGTTACGATAATGACGATCGCGGTTAGCGCGGCTGGGATCGGTGTGGTGGGCTGTTTCTTGGTGGTTCTGCTAACCAAACCGGTTAGCGAGGAGATCCGGCTGAAGCACGAGCTGATCCGGCAGCTGGAGGCCAAGAAGCGGGCGGAAGAGCGGAATGAGACCAAAAGCAGGTTCCTTGCGAACATGAGGTCAGCAAGACGTAATTCCTCAGATTTCCAAAGCTTCGTTTTGTACTGTCACCTCTGAAAGTTTCTCGAGGGTCACCCTCCTCACGCGCACGCTTGCATTCCCGCCGCAAGCCACTGCCGCTTTCCGTCTTAGTCCCTGCCACTCCTGTTGCGCAAATCTGTCCTCAACCCGCTTAGTTTTCTGGCACTTTGCAGAAGCGTTTCTTTTTCCTCTTCTCTACGAGACTGCCAAGCTGTTTCTGAAAGCCTCCCTTTTCCGCGCGCGCACTACAGCCACGAGCTTCGGAGTTCGCTCGCGAGCATTCTTGGGCTGCTTAATTTGGCGCAGACCTTTTCTTCACATGCTCAGTTGCTAGCGCTTCACAATTATATGATGCCCTTCTTTCCAAGATAAATGCCATCCTGTTTCTGAACCCTTTCCTCTTACCGCGCGCGCATGGCAGCCACGAGCTTCGGAGCCCGCTCGCGAGCATTCTCGGGCTGCTGGACCTGCTGCTGGACGACGGCCTGACGCCCCCGCAGCACAACAGCGCGCTCCAAATGCGCGAGTGCGCGGCGGGCCTACTCGGACTGCTCAACGACATTCTAGATTTCTCCAAGGTACGGCGTTCTTTGGCTTCGAAACGTGGCTGTTTTGCATAGATAATTCAGAAAACGAGAGGGAGGAAAGGGCGCGAAGCCTTAGATCCTCCTGTTTCTACGCCGGCTGAACGACATGGTAAGGGACAAACTGCGTCCTCGAGTCGGTACTTTTGCCTTGGTTGATCTTGTGGTCAGAAGAGCACATGTTTGGCTCGATCGAGACGAGCCGTGTTGTATCCAATTGGATGCGCAACGAAGCAGGTGCTCTTGTTTCGGGCTCTTGTTCGCCACTGGAAAACGAGTGGGCTTGCGGCTCCTAGGAGTAAATGATACACACACGCTCCTGATCGGAGAATGAGTTTTCAGAGTTCTCTTGATGCCGCTCGAGTTCGCACCGGCTTTTGATAACCGTGCAGATCGAAGCGGGCAAGGTGTCGCTGGAGGCGATGGAGTTCGACGCCGTCAGCTTGATGGAAAACCTGATTGAGATGATGAGCGTGCACAGCGCGCGCAAGGGCATCGAACTTGTTCTGGACGCGCCGGGTGAGGAACCGATCGTGGACTGACATATTTGCTGCCCATAGGCGCTTATTTTTGAAACCGAATCGTTTGCAACCCATCTGTCCTTTTGCTCGATGTACGCATAGTGCCAGATTACGTCATGGTTTGCCGTGGATAGGAGTTTGGGTCTCGTGTAATTCGATCACTGTATTATACCATCCCGTTTTAACTTTATGGAAGCGCTCACTGCGCGCTCCCTGGCTAGAGTTGTCCACCTGGAATCAATTCGTGCATCTTTCATTTTTGTGTGTCATTTTTCAGGCTACCTGCAACATATGCGAAACCAGTAAGGCATTTCTAAAGGAGAGAACATTGGGTCTGCTATCAGGGACTGCTCGGGCAATTGTCTATCGCTCCAATGCGCCGTTCTTCGGACCATATGAATCTATGCAAACCCACCTCTGTTGTCTTTTGACAGAGGACATTGGGCCTGTGCTGTACGGGGATCCCTCCCGGTTCCGTCAGGTCTTCACCAATCTGCTCAACAATGCCATCAAGTTTACCAAGGTGACCCACCCTTTCCCCCTTTTTGTTCCAATCCGCTCAGTCGCCGAACGCGCGTGTCCGCGTCGCGCGCGCGCGCGTGCAATCGAAGGCCGTACATTGTGGAAGGACCTTACGTGTCCCAATCTAATTACTTAGGCGCGGCGACGGCGCCCACGCGCGCGCAGGCCCGCGAATACTCAGAAGCGCACCCAACGCTTATCATCATTCTTGTCCTGCCGGGCTCACGAGCCCGGCCACTGTCCTTGATGCATTCTTTCTTGATCCGTTGCTTCTCTTGCCGCTGCGGCCCGCGCATTTTCCCAGCCTCTCACGAAACGTTGACCTGAAACTGTTTTTATGTTGAGGCAAGTCCAATCTGGCTGCCAATCAGCTGCTGTTGAACTGAACCTTGCCACAGCATGTACTGCATTTACCCGAACTTTAAGCGTTCGGTAAAAAGGATGAATTCAGCTCACCTTCCGACGAGTCACTGTGTGAGCTTGTCTCGTGTGCGCGCGCCTGAGAGGCGCCCCCTGGTTCTGCTTGCAGGAGGGATTCGTCATCTTGAGGTGCCGGACGGCCGACGAGAAGGGCTGGCTGGTCTTCGACGTCGAAGACAGCGGCTGCGGTAAGCCCTGCTTTGAAAGCTTTGGTGTCGAAGGAAGCAATTTGAAGAATGTTGTTCTCCGACCAGAAATCGTGCTATACATCTGCGCGTTGACTGTATCGATGTGCGTTGCCCTTTGCGAACGTTCTTCCGACCGTTTATATATCTACCAACGGCCAGCCTTTTGCACGGATGAAAGTCCACTTAGAGCGGTTTTTCAATTACCTGCAACTTATCCCACAGCTGTTTGCGTCACAAACCTGCCATCGGGTTCCAACACTTCGAGAATGATTATAGATCTTGCACCGTCCGATCGACGACAAGGTCAGCATCGGACGGTTCAAGATCAGAAATCATGGTCCGAGCGTCTGAAATGAGAAGACAAAAAGAAACCTCTCAACCTTGAAGAATCCATCTTGTTTCAACTAAACCCTGCTTAAACGCCTCACCCAGGCATCCCCCCCGAGCGCGCCGCGTCCGTCTTCGAGGCGTTCGTGCAGGCCGACCCGAGCACCACCCGGTTGTACGGCGGAACCGGGTTAGGCCTAACCATCGTTAAGTCGCTGGTGCACCTCATGGGCGGGACCGTAACCATCGAGCCTAAACCCAGCCCTGGGACAATCTTCCGGGTGCGCCTGCCCATGCGAAAATCCTCCCGGGAGCACTCGCCGGGCGCCGCAACAGAACACTTTCCGCGCGCGCGGCCGCCGGGGATCCCTCCGATCATCAAACAGCTGGTTATGCCAAACCTAGAGAACGTGAAACCGCCGCCTGACCCCGGAGACCAAGAAGCGCCGCGGTCTTCTGGGGGGCTTTTGTCGCCAACTAGAGCGGAACAGCCTGCATGGCTGCAACGGCTGAAGACCATCCGGAAGGCGCACTCCGAGACCGCGCGCGCGCGCTCGCTGAGTTCGACGAAACTTGAAGACCGCCGGCGCACGTTCCCCGGCGCGGCCGCGAATGGCAACCCTCACGCGCTCGTGCGCGCGTCGAGCAACCTGATCGCGGGGCTGGGTGAAACCTCGGCACCGCGCGCGCGCCGCCGCGCGCTGCTCGCGATGGGCGGCGCGATGGGGCGCGCTGTCGCGGCGCGCTTCCTCGGGGGCCAGGGTTTGGAAGTGGTGTGCGCGGCCGATTGGGGCGCGGCTCTGGAGCGCGTTTCGCGCGCGCGCGCCCGTGTGGTTCGTGAGAACGGAGACGGAGACCCACTGCTGGTTTCGCCCGGGTTCGTTGACGGCGGGTCCATTTCTGGGGACGAGAACCGGACGGCATCCCGGAACGGAACGACCCCGGGTTTCGATCTGGTGTTTTTGGACGTCGGTTTGCTGACGGTAGAGGCTACCGATCCGGACGCTTTCGGGCAGCGGTTGAGAGCGGTCCGGGAGAGTTTGGACGGATCAAGCAACAATCAACGGTCAAAAATGACAGCTGTTCTACAGTCAGAACAAGGAGGAAAGGCCGCAACAAGTCCTGGGCTCAGATGGCCTGGGAGCGGAACGGCCGGGAGCGGATCAACCGGGAGCGGAACAACCCGGAGCGGAAGAACCGGGCAGTTTGCTGGGCCCCATGTCGTGTGGCTGGTCGGGAACGAGGTCCCCGCGGCCGCGCGCCGGCTCCTGCACGAGGAAGGCTTTGGCAGGGTTTTGCAGAAGCCGGTGTTTGTCTCCCGGCTGCGCGCGCTGCTCACCGAGCTCAGCGCCGCCCGGCAGGAGGAGTCAGGGGATCCCCCCCGGTCACAGTCGTCCGCTCGGAAACCGAACGGAATCGCCATCGAAAACGGCGAGCGGGCGTCACTCCCGCACATCCCGGAGTGCCCCGAGTGTGAAAAGGCCGCGGAAGACCAATCGGTCACTCCACCGTCCCTGGTAGCTCTTCCCCCGGGCGCTTTGGCCCCGGTAGCTAATTCACCGGGCACTCAGGAAGCAATCAATGAGCAGTTCAAAAGAGCGGGTTACCGGGCACTCGTTGCGGAGGACAGCCCGGTTTTGCGACAGCTGGCACAGAGGGTTTTGGAAAAGATGGGCGCGCGCGTGGTGACGGTGGAGAATGGGCGGCAGGCGGTGGAAGCCGTTCTGGCGGCGAACCTGGGCGGAATGCCGGCGGAATCTGGGGAGGGGCGGACGGAAGAAGGACGGAGTGTGGAGGACGGAACGGCCCAAGGACGCGCGGAAGCGGAGCCGTTTGACTTCGTGTTGATGGATTGCCAGGTGGGTGTGCCGACAAGTCATCTGTTCTTATCTGAATTGGATCAAAGTGTGTCTCTTTTTTTGGAGGCACATTTGCAACGCTCGCCTCGGCGAAATCTCTACGTCCTTCGAAGACGTTGAGATGCACCAGCCGCAATCGGAATCACCGCCTTCGTGCTTCAAAAGAGTACAGGGAACGACAACGCTTGAAAGCGGAGTCGCATCCATCAACGATTGTGATGCGTGCCTTTTAGACTGTTCTCCATTTGGGCCCACATGAATATTCTGCGCATTGGGCCTGATAAACGAAACACGGGGCAAATCGAAACGCGCACCAGATTTTCCAAACTTCGCATCTGCGCATATAGGCACGGACGCCGGTACGTTACTCGAATTTCGTTTTGATCCAAGATTGCCGAAAATGGATTTTAGCGCAGACGCCACCCCGGCATCTCTTTGGGCGCTTTGGGTCCAACTCCGGCCATTCCGGTAAGGTGGAACAAACTTTTGACCGCCTTTTTGCGACTGGCAGCCAGCTCGTTTCGGTCGCCTCCAAATCTACTCTGGATCTCACCGCTTCGTCGGCCAATTTATTCGGGCAGGATACTTATCGGGTTCCATAATTAAGCACGTCCTATGTAACCTGAGCCCGTGTCCTGATTAAGCGCTCCGCTCACTGCCTTTGAAAAGCCCACACCCTGACACGCGCCTACCGCTCCTCCCAGATGCCCGTGATGGACGGCTACGCGGCCTCGCGCCTGATCCGCGCCGCAGAGCGCGCCCGCGCGCCCGAAGGAGCGCCAGCGCGGCCGCGGCTCCTGATCCTGGCGCTGACCGCGCACGCGATGTCGGAGGACGAGGCGCGGTGCCTCGAGGCGGGAATGGATCTGTACCTCACGAAACCGCTCCAGGTGGCAAAGCTGGCTGACGTCATCGTGGATCACATGGGCCGGAGAAAATGACGTCATCGCTGACGTCAGATGGGCGGTGTCTGGTGCGACACATGTACAGTGTGCTGATTATCGTTTCGTACCTAGGGGTGAGGCAAGATTTGATGTACGAGCATTGGAGGCAGATCACTGTTTGTGTCATTGAGAGATAGCACATTGGGTTGCGACGAGGCTGCCGCTTCTGCAAAGCCGACGCGGGAGACACTTGTCGCACGGAGCATGTATCTACAGCATTCAGAGTCACTGTATTTGAGCGGCCGACGTCGACTTCCAGTCTTATAGAGTTCCATCAACTTAAAAGTGGGCAGCACATTTGAGCTGTATAGAGTAATTCAACAGAGCGTAAATCGCATGGGTTGCGCGAGTATCGCAGATAATCTTGGACCCGTCAGTCAAGTACCCGGTCCTCCATTGTAGTTTTGCCGAGATCGGAGCGCCGCAGGGATAAGAGCCGTAGCATAACATTCAAATGGGTCAGAATCCGACAGTTTGCTTGCATTGGAAGGAAGTTTGCCCGTATCCAGATCGTGTAAGACAGTCATCGTAGGCGCAATTGACCGAGCATTTGCTTAGTAAGTCCCGCGTACGGTAAAGCGTACCAATGTCCTCGGGTTCTAAGAGGTGGTGGGCTACTGTAGGAGAGTCGGACACGTGGTGCGAGTAATGAGGACAGTCAACATTGTTTATAAAGCCAAACCATGTGTTGTGGGCATTGTGTAATTGAAGAGTAGGTTGCACATGTAATCTTCGGGTGAGCTGCAGCCACACGTGCAATGCACTAGAGGGCCATGCAGTTCGATCACTAGTAAGTCGCGCACACGAGCATGTCGGACGATGGCTCAAAAGCCGTGCGTATGCGTTTAAGTTTCTCAACAAGGATATATCGACTCCACAAAGGTTTTTTTTTTTGGGCGGGGGCGGCCGCACTAAGTTGAACTTCTTCACTGATGTCAAAACCTGGCCGGGCCTGCCGCCACAGCAACAAAACCGTGCAAAGCTGCCGTGATCAATCCTGCAGCGAATTCTGCACGCGCAAATCACTTCCAAGAGCGCAGACGTAGGCTGATATCTCAACCCGGTGATTGTAGCTGCCACGTACCTATCATCATGTACGTATTGGTTGAATCACGTGATTTGAGCCATAGGCCGCCCGGGCTGAACAGGTCAACGCATCTTCAAAACCGATTATTTGGTCACGCTATGCAACACATCGTATAATTATGAAGCGCTGTAAGACATGAATGCATATGCACTGCTGAGGGTACTGATGCACGCGCCGCGCCGAATGCTAGTTGTTGTACAGCTGCACGTCTTCGCGGAGCTGCCGAATTGCTCGGCGGCCTCGGTTTTCACACGCGGAAGCCTAAGCCGCGCATGACCTGGCATCAAACGTATACATGACTTTTCAATCCTAGCACTCATGTGCAAGGGGAGCATGTATGTTGTAGTCGCTTCAAGTAGCCGGCCGCGGCTGCCGTGGCGGCGTAGTAGCAAATTCAAGTCTATCCATGGCCGTCCGGGCACACATGGCAATTTGTTGGTGCACCCCCAAAACCGAAACGGACGCTTACTGCACGATAGGCTACCGTAATATGATAAGAAGGCAACATGCTATGAAGTTGGTGCATCTAAGATGGCATAGAGAAAGGGCTTCGAATTTTGCTGATCTTTCGCGGACAGGGGCTGAACATAGTGCCAAATCCCCGTCACCACAGTCGGGAACGTGCGCTGAGTGCTCAGTAAGCATGCGTGACTTGGTTCGATCTGCTTTCACTCAAGCAGAGCAAATCTCTCCCCCCTCGTCCACCGGGCAAATTGAGACAGCCCAAACAACGCCGACTGTGCACATTACGAGCTGTGGCACAGGACGGCTTTTCAATCATACGAGGACACGTGTAAAGATCCTCCTCAGGTGACGATGTCCAGCTCATCGTCCAAGTCGTCGTCGTCCGGATCCTCTAAATCGTCGTCGTCCTCGTCCGTGATAAACTCTCCATCTGCAAACGCGCAGAAATTCTCGTGACGCAGAGCTCATGCACGGGCGTTCTGAGTCGTACGGGTGGAAGGAGCGAGACAATTACGAGGCACTCTCGCTCGCGGTCACCCTGATCTGGTCAAATACTGCTGTAAATCTGGACGGCAACAGTATCAGCAGAAGACTTGACATGTGCGGATAAAGGGATCAGTCGCTGCTATAAAACCGGATGTTTCAGAACCAAGGTCTTTAGCCAGAGAGGGCCTTAAAAGTTTCAATCAACCAGGTTGCCTTGGGTTGTCTAAAGCCAGGTTTCTCAGCGGGGTCCCAAAAGCAAGACAAGAACGTACCGTCTCTACTTTCCGGAATTCCCGCCGCCCGCCGCTCCGTGGCCGCCCTCTTCCGGGTCCTTCTTCGATTTCAAAAGGCTTTGTACAACCCGTATACTTCAGCTAACCCCAAAAAGATATTGGGTCACTCACAGGCTCTTGTCTCCGCAAATCCCGCCGCCCGCCACTCCGTGGCCGCATGCGCGGCTTTTGCCGCCACCTCCGCGTCCTTTCGAATGGGAACTAAACCCGTAGAAAAACCCTCAAAACATGCAAAGCCTCAGACTTTGAGCCTCCTGTGGCCTAAAACACAGAAATCCTGAAATCCGCGCAAAGAAGCCAGTAACGTACCATCTCCTCTTCGCGCAACCCGCCGCCCGTCGCTCCGCGGCAGCCTCCTCCGCAACTTACTCCTAACATCAAAAAGCCTTCGTGACCCCATAAGGTTAAGCTTCACCCGACAAAACACTCAAACCACTTACCGTTTCCTGTTCCCGCAATAGCCGCCCCCCGTCGCTCCCCGGCCGCCTCTTCTGCGCCCTTCAAGCGACTCCCACAGTCTTTCAACCCTCAGAACAAGCAATATCTTCCTCTTAGCGCCCTAACACCCCCATCCTCAAAAATCCCCAAAATCAAGACGTTAACGTACCATCTCCAGTCTCCGCAATTCCCGCCGCCCGCCGCTCCGCGGCCACCTGCGCGGCTTTCGCTGCCTCCTCCGCATCTTTTTCTGCTTGCAGCGCGGCCTCGACGAGCGCGTTCTGGACCGCGTTCTCCGCGCGCCACTCCTCCTTGCGGCTCGGGATGTCCGGGAAAGGTCGGTCGTCGTCGCCCAGACGCTCCTTGCCGCGCCGCATGCGATCGCGGATCATCAGCGGCGTTGGCCGCTCGTCTAGTTCACTGCAGGGTAGGAAGTCGTGAACTTAGGAAAGGGTTCTAATTTCTGCCAACGGCGTCCAATTGCTCCTTGCGGCGCCGTATGCGGTCACGAATCATCAGCGGCGTCGGCTGCTCGTCCAGTCACTGGACTAAGACGAGGTTTTCATATCTCAGAATAAAGGGTTTTTAGGCATTTTCACTGTTAGTGTTAGGGAGAAGTTAGGCGCTTTGTAGAACGCTACCAACTGCTCCTTGCCGCGCCGCATGCGATCGCGGATCATCAGCGGCGTCGGCCGCTCGT